ATAAAAAATATGATTGAAAGAAGTCAAGTGGAGAATGCAAGAGGGATGAGACTGTGTGAGGTCTAGATTGTGCAGAGACGTGACACAAAAAATGAAGACAGGGAAATCCTTTTGATTTTAGGAAATGGGTATGTGGACTATCAGCATTGACGTGCAGAAGCCTCTCTTCCCCTTCTGACAGGAACAGCAGGGTAATGAGGAAAGGTTGGACACCTTCAATAAAACCAGATGGGAAACTCCTTGAGAAAAATGAGCTTATGTACCTGCCTTAAGACTACTTTTAGACTTGTGTGAAGACATTCGTGCTTTGCTTCCTTGATGAAACCAATACAGCTTAAAAGTACTAAGAAGGAAACCAAGGAAAGAACATTTGTCAGCTACCAGCCAATTCACCTTGTCTGCTTCCACGAGATGGAAGGAACACTGGCTGAAGGAGTGTTAGTAGATCATAAATTGTATTGGTATGCTAGAGCAGGATACCTGTTTCTGGAAGACATGGGGCATTCAGATACCAACACAATGGAATGATCCCAGCCAAAGGATGAAACCACTCTTGAACTTATTTCAGACACTGTGGTTTGAACTGACAGCCAGTGGTCCAGACAAGACAGCAGTATGTCACAGAAGGGTTGACTGAAGGAACACCTCAGTTCCTCACTTACAGCTAATATTTCCTCACTTTCTTCCTGTTCATATGCATTGGAAAAAGGGGGAATTTGGACTTCATAGACTGCACAAATACTCCTACAAAATGGAATGCAGGTAAACAAGGATCCAACATGCCATAGCTAGTTCATTGCCATCTTCTCTTTATAATGGATGTCATTAATATGCAGTATAGACTGATTGGTATAGGGAAAAATGTTAGATTATGACTCAGAAAACTAGTGATCTGAAGTGTCTGCCTGAAATATGATTGCTGATTTAAAGTAATTTTCACAGAGAAGCATATGTTTCCACCATTAATTCCCTCTTGACTTTGAAGCTGGTACTGTGTGAGGTGTCTGAAGAAGATTTGTGAAAAAAGAGGAGGAAGAGGAGAAAAGTCTAGACAAATGAAAAATATAGTAAGAATTTATGAAAGGTTCTCTGAGCCAAAACAGTCAAGACAAAAAGCAATCTCTTTGGACAAGCAAGTGGTGTTGAAAAAGAGAGCAATAATAACTCTACAAAAAAAAATCATAAATCATTCCCTGTCAAATACCAGCTGGTAGAGGTATTCTACTTATTGCTTTTAGACATGCTGTCTTCAAGAAGGGCATTGCTTGCTGCACAAGTCTGTAGACAAAAGAGAAGATGAGAGGCTAGAAGAGACAGCACCCAAATGTGGTGTACTTGACATTTGAAATGAGCCCTGAATGGAATCCAAGTATTGTGGTGTATGGCTTTTACAGAGTAATCCATTAAATTAAATGTAAATGCAAAGGAATTCTGAATCTTCCCATCTCTCCTCTTTATAATTCACCTACTTTATGTAAATGCTGCCACTCCATGGCACTCTGGACCAATATGACAGATTATTCAGCAGTGTTAAGGGACCAGTCAAACTTGAGATGATGACTGGCTTGCAGGTAACGAAGCAGTTAATAAAAAAATCAGATAAAAGGGGCTCAATGAGTAGTCAGCTGCCACTCTTACAAACCATGAGGCTGTCAGTTTGGATTGATGAGACTGCAAACACAGTAAAAATAATGGATTTGGCATGGAAATGTAGCTTCTATCCTGTCTACACAGACTAATTAAACAGATTTGTTATATATCAAAATGTTTAGTATAAGCAACTTGAGTATACTGAATATATGAGCTTTGGTAAAATGAACAGCAACATGAAAATATTTTAGTTCTCTGAACAAAATGAAAAATACAGGAAATCAGATCCACCTAAACAAACAAACAAAAACATCTCCTCTGATAAATTAAAATTAAAGATCATTAACATTGTAAGATGAGTTTTGTACTACCCATTTCAATATTAGGAAATTTGAAAGGAATTTTAAAAAAATCTATGATTAAATTACAAAATTGAATTCAGGAAAATTTAGAAAACTGCATTAAATTAAATTAAGTGACCATTTCGTTTAGGGAATGTTTACAAAGAACATTCTGATTTTCCCAAGAACAGTCTGATTTTTCACTCTGCTTAGACTCTGTTTAGAGAGTCTATATTGAACTCAATGCTGTTAAATTTCAGGTATTTTAAACCTTTTTTTCACTATGTTTGTAAAAAACATTCCACTTGAATACCCTGAGAAGTAGACAAGTATCTTTTGCATTTACCTCTCCTGTGCTGAGGTCAGATTCCATTATTAAACATTCCAAATGGTACTGAAGGTATTACAAGAAGTCGAAGAACACAGATGACCCCAACTGGAACATATTTCTGATTGAGCTGTGCCATGGCTATGGGGCCAACTGGGTCCCCCTTTTCATCTGTATTCCAAAATTCAGCCCACTGAAATTTCTCCTCTTGGACATCAGTAGCAATTACCAACTTAGCAACAGACCAGGTCCTAAAATTCGCAGTTAAGAGTTATCACAACTCACAAACATATTTTACCGCTTACTTTCTTACTGTTTGCAAAGGACCTTGACTGTGGCAGAGGAGGAGTTACCTAATAGATGTGGGGTTTTGTCATCTGAGCTTTTATATCCCAGCAGCAGGATGGGCCATACAGGTCTGACTTTGCTGCTGGAGTGAGTCCTCCTGTGCTACTGCTTGTTTGCATTCATTCTCTGTGAGCCATTACTGATACAAATGCAGTCCCCAAGAGAACTGTAGAACTGCAGTTATGGAGGGGCTCTACAGCTGGCCTACAAGTAAAGCTGAGTTAATAGAAGAAATAACAACTGATGATTTTCAAGTGTATCCATAGCAAAGACAAACACAAGGCCATCAGCATAGAAACAGATTAGAAAAGATACATGAATATTTTTGTAAGCTAAGCTGCGTGCATAAGTAGATGCGTATACGTGCCTGATAACATTTCTGTAAAACTTTTGCCAATTATATTAACATTAATTGCTTTACACCAATAAATAGAATAAGTTATTGTGATGCAGTTAATGACTTAAGATCATGCTTTGTTAAAAGTATATAAGCTAGAAAACACGCAGAATAAAAACTTTTTTCTTCTTGAACCCTGATCACGTGTGTGTGTATGTCACATCTGACCTAATGATAACATGCAGCAAGGTTTAATTTGTCCCCAAATACCTCTTCCTATTGCAACTAGCTGGATGAAGACAAATTAATTTTTGAAGCACTGTAAACTGAATTGCTTTAGACTGATCTGGATGTTTTCACTTTGTGAACACTCTCTGTATGGGGAAGTGTGATGAGACTGACCAAATAACAGCAGCCAAAGTCTTGTTTATACCAGCACAAAACTAGATCATGCTCAACACCTGTTAAGGGACACAGAAACTCAAATTTCCCTTTGGGAGCAAACTGATACCATTCCACACATCACTGCATCTGGCCTAACTTTGTAGTATCAGTTCTCTAATTGACTCGGAGATATTCCCAGTAAGTCTAATACCCACATAAAGACCCAAATCGTATTGAGCAGGTGCAGTCACTTCATGGGGAACAAATGGAATGGAAGGGATAAAGTCCCCTTATATTCAGAAACAGGCAAACAAGTGGCATTTTTCTTTAAAAATGTTGAATGAAATTTCTCTTTTCAAAAGTGATTGACACTACACAGTGTTTTATCAGTACTTGAAAAAGATTCATTTGGTGAGACGTGTTCTCATATCTGTGGTCAAATGTAGAACATGCAAAGGAGCACAAATAACTGAAGATACAATGAAATGTTTGATTTCTTGTGTGCACCCAAGCATGCCACCATCCTCCTCACAACTCACTGCAGACAGTCCTCACTGCATGGTTTGTATCCCAACAGGAGGCTACCAGACTTCAATTGTTCTATTTACCACTTCAATTAGCCTTTAACACTTTATTTTTGAAAAAGAGCAGTTACTGAAGCTGTGGAGAGGGTTGAAGAAAGAGCTTGCTGTTCTGCACAGCCTCGCTTTTCCCTACACACCTGATTCTTACTACCTGGGAAGGGCAAGAGAGGATGGACTGCCCGGGGCAGCAGGGCTCACAGCACACAGGCGGGAGAAAAGCCCTTACAGCCACGGCGCCGCGGCCGGGGGCTGGGCTCACACGGGCTCCTTGTGCCCCCTAGTGACTGCCACGGCTCCCGTCCCTCGCCCGCCCCTTTCCTGCCCCTTCCCCACACACTCGTGACAAACCACGCACATGAAACAGGAATCAGAAAACTGAAACACCAACAGAAACCTCCCCAAGAGCTCTGCGCCTACATGGGTCTTGCAGTTCTAGAGACACGTGTGTCATGTAGCGTTCTTTCACTGCTCAGTGAGAATAACTCACTGGCCTCAACTGAGGGCAAAAGGAGCAAGGAACAACAAAGGCAGCTGGTGCCACTTGGTGGCACAGGTATGGCTTACCGCCAGGAAACCGCCTGTCTCCAGCAAATCCAGGGGATCCACCACAGCAGATGAATCCTCGAAGACACTCAGGCTCGTTCTCTTCCTCCTCACCCCATCACGATCCGTGCTGAAAAGGTTTTAAAGGGCTTAATATGGAGGGCAGAAGAGCAGGGCATGATGAGACAAAGTCCACTTTTCATGGACAGGACTCAAGCGTAAATAGCATTGCCACGTAAGAAAATCTCTGCTCCAAGAGCTTGTAATTCTAAGACACGAAGCCGAAGTGTGGTTACACGCTCCTACTGTTTCTATTTGATTGGGAGTGTGTGAGAGAAGGGACTGCTGCCAGCTGAGACTAAACAAAAGCTGGCATCAGAAAGAGGGCACTGAAAATGCCCTGCCGTTGATTTACACAGCTTTGTCAGGAGGCAAGTGGTGGATTCCTGGCCTTCATCTGTGGCTAAGTACTTCACCGGCTGCTCTGGTTAGCAGTTTTGGGGCACTTCCTTCAGGAAGATTCGGTAGGCTGGGAAAAGGAACGTTGAGCGTGTTGATATCGGCAGCGGTGACTCTCCTGAGCGCGCCCAGCGGCGAGGACACAGCACAGACCCATCAGTGCTATGGGAACGGCCCCAGGGCACCGGGGCGGGAACGGGCGGCGGCGGGACGCGTGTCCCCTGCGTGACAGCGCCGTCCCGTCCTCGAGAGGACTCTTTCGCCGCAGCTCTGCGGGCCCGTTACGGAGGCCTGCTGCAAGGCGGCCGGATACAGCGAGCGGTCCCGGCCTCAGCAGGGACAGCGGCCCCACAGCGGCCCCCGCTCCGCCCGCCATCGACAGCTCTGCGCTCGGCAGCCCCCCCGCCGCGTCGGACGAGCCCTCCTTGCCCCGCCCTTTCCTCTCATCGATGGCTCAGCGCTCGCCCCGCCCTCAGCCGCGCTCTGCCGCTCCCGGCAGCCGGGACAGGCCGCAGCCGCCCTGCTTTGGAGACAGTCACCGGCCGCCCGGGCGCTGAGGTAAGGCGGACCCTGCCGGGCTTTTCCCGGGCGGTCCCTGGGCTCTCGCTGGGCCACGGACCCTCAGGCGGGCGGAGCAGCCCTCAGCGGCCTCTCCCCCGGCGGGCGGTGCGCCTCAAGCCCCGCCCATCTCCCTGCGCGGCCTCTCTCCTGTCCCGGGCGGGGCGCGGCGGGCCCGCGGAGGGGCTCGCGCCCAGCCCGGGCCCTTCCCGCCCCGATCTTGCGCCGCCGGTCGCACGGCCCTGGCCTGGTTCATTTCAGGCAGTGCCTCAGGACGATGCGGCCCCGGCATCCCGGCAGCCGGTGAGGGCAGCACGCGCGGCCGCGATGGCGTCGGGCTGCCCGGCGGCCTTCGGGGACCCGACCGAAGTGCGCGAGGGCTTCCTGTGCCCGCTGTGCCTGAAGGATCTCCAGGCGTTCCGGCAGCTCCAGGCGCACTACGAGGAGCAGCACTCGGGCGAAGACCGGGACGTCAGGGCGCAGCTCCGAAGTAAGGGCGGCCGCGGTAGACGCGTTCGGCTTGGCCGGGGGAAATCCCTGCTTGTGCTTCGAGTGCTCCCAAATGTCTGACAATAATAAAATATTAATTGAAGCGACTTACAGGCGAGGTATGCAGTTCCATTCTTTCGTAAGTCTCCTTGGGCCAAGCATAGTATTTACTTTCTCCCGATACTTTCTATAAATTGATTCTAAGGTAGGAGCTAAAGGACATTGCTCTTCAAATGTCTCATTTTATGCACGATTTTTACTATTGACCTTTTTGGGATTTTTTGTTTGTTTTTATCTGAAAACGCAAAATTATACTAACCCAGTGAATACCCAAGAATTACTTGAAGACTGTGGAGAATAAGGGGTGTCTTTGGTACTTGTCAGGTTCCAGTTCATTAATTTCTTGTTTGACAGTAGATAAAACTGTGGTTGTAGTTAAAGTGTGAAGTTAAGAACTGTTGTTATTGCGAAAACATGGAAAAGCATGTGGGTGGTGGAGCTGGCAGGAGATGCTGGGAGTGTTCCATATCTGTTATGGATTTCCACCTTCCAGTAGTGTTTAGAAAGTCTCTTTGAATTTTGTTTTACTAAGTTATTTTCCTTTTTTTACCCCCTTGTGTACACAATGTCGTTTTATATTGGAAGAAGAATGTTTAAAATCTAGCAATAATTCTCTGTGGTTCCTGCAAACTCTGGTTTTAGTATGCTAGAAGTAGTGTCCTGGCAGTCTTGGGTTTTTTGGTTTTTTTGGTGATTTACACAGGGTTTTTTTGGGTTTTTTTTGGGTTTTTTTTTTTTTTTTTTTGTGTGTGTGGTTTTTTTGTCTTTTGTTTAGTTTTTTTGTTTGGGTTTTTTTTTGTTTTTGTTTTGTTGGGTTTTTTTGTTTTTTTGGTTTTTTTTTGTGTTTTTTTGGTTTTTTTTTTTGTCTTGAGAGAGACTTTTGAAGTATTAACCACTTTTCTTGGTGAAACCCTTACCCTAACACTGGGCTGTTTAGTATTTGAAAAAGTCTTTATGTGTACAAGCGCACTGAAATTGGAAATTGGTACCTTATGCAGTAAGATAAGGATGTGTTGAACATCCTTGACTCTGAAGAAAATAATAGGGAATTATGAGAATTAAGATAAAACTATATGATGCCCCATGCAGGGAGACAGGTCCCATAGTTTAAGACATGTTGCTGTTTTACAGTGAAGCCTGACAGTGGAATGTTTTAATCTACTGTCTTGTCCTTAGGACCTCATGCTGCTTTATGAGAGACAACAGAGAGCGTTTTGTGTCATCTGTGGTGCTCTGAACTGCATTTTTGTTCTAAGAATGTTTTGAGGATAAATTTATCCAGGAAAAAGATTTCTGCTAAAAGAAGAGGAATATTCTATACTGGCTTCACATGACAAATATTTGGTGACTACCTGATATGTTAGATAACTTGGGTTTATTTTTTTTCAGATCTAGTCCAGAAGGCCAAAAGAGCAAAGAAGAAATTGCTGAAACAAGAAGATGATGACAGAACTGATTCTGGATCTCAGGAACGATATGAGTCATTCAGCTATGGTGGAGTAGACCCATACATGTGGGAGCCCCAGGAAGTAGGTAGGAGAGCTAGACAGTGGGGATAAGTTTTGAACTGAATTAGGAAAGTGCTACAGTATTGCTGAAGTGGCTTGGAATTGTGTCTGTGCTGCACTGGATTCGCTAGCGGGGGTTATGGTTTGCACAGACTGAGCAGCCTATCTGAATTGGGTGGAATGTGGGGAAAACACAGTTAATGGGGAGAAGAAAAGACATGTATAGAATTAGTACCCAAACTAGCCTTCAGGTAGCTGTTAGTCATGTCATTGTTGCTGTCCTGCTGAGATCTGTTTAATCTGTTTACCTTTGTGCAGCTAGCTTCATCTTGTGACTTTACAAAACAGATAATCCACTAATTAAAAGATAAGTTATAAGTATATAAAATCTCTAGCTTTTGGGCTGCACTTGAAGTAGCTTGTTAGTTTGCATGTTTAACAAACAGATTATCCACCTATTTAAACTTTCAGTTTTTTCCTTGGATTTGAGGTGGCAATCACCTCTTATTAAAAGGGGGCATACTTTAAAAAGACCAAGCTAAAAAAACCAACCAACAAACTCCACTCCTTTGAATATAAATCTACATTTGTAGAATTTCAATGATAAGCTGACTGAGCCTGTAATTATAAATATTGCTACTGGCAATTGCCTGTACTATAACTGAAATACTGTGGTTATTTTTGGAGAAGGAAGCAGCACCATCTTTTGTGGATCCTGAGAAAGTTTCCACTGTGGTGCTGACAGACTAGGACTGAGTCCTTTGGATCTGTGTTCTGTATTTCTTTACTTTTGACTTTGTAACTATTTGAGCAGCAATCATAGTGTAAATATTAGCTAAGAATAAATTTACGGAGAAGGTTTATGAACATTAGAGGAGTGAGAACTGCTTTCTGATGAGCATTGAGAACATGAATCATAGGGATCTTTGCATGTGATTTGATGGATCAGTGAAAGGGATTGTGTCTCCAAAGCAGTGGCTTAAATCAGTTACCCAGAGGGACTCTTCCACTACTATGAATGCATCTTTGGAGATTTTTGGTTACTTCATTAGCATGAGGAAGTGAGATTCTCACATTTACATAGGTTGTATGCAAAAAGCAACATCTGATTTTGAGTTCTACCAGCTAGAAGAAAGATTTTTTTTTTTTTTTTTTTGATTGGTTTGGGGTCTTTAATTTTTTGTCTATAACTTTGATTTTGAATACCTCACCCACGTTACTTGGAAAAGGAGTAATCTTAAACCAATGTTATCAACTATGAATTGTACATGTCTTAGAGATGCTGTTTAGTTCTTTTAAATACTCGGTGATCAGTTTTCTGCAAACCTAAACTGTCATCAAGGATTTGGTTCAGGCCCCTAAAGGTGTAGAGAGATGATCAGAAACCTGAAACAAAATTCTGCTGCATAGACCTCCAGTAATCCTTGGGCTTGCCTCTTCCCTTTGCTCAACATGTAGCCAGGAAACTTAAGGGAGTTGGTTTTGAGAACACTACTAGTAGGTAACAGCTTACCAAAGGTAACTGACAAATGAAGATGGAGAAAAAAAAAATTGTTGCAGATTTTCTCTTTAACGTAGTGCTGCTTCTTTTCTGTAGTAGAAGTAAAACACTGTTTGTTGCTAGCCTGAATATAAGTCTTTAACTAGCATGTTTTATTTACAGCAACACTGTGAAAATGTAGGATTCCAATGTGTCTTTAAAATCGAATTTGAACATGAGAAATAAATGGTGAAAGGAAGAGACATCTGTCTTTCAAGTGGCATTTAAATCCATACAGAGTACTTGGGTGACCAGGACAATTTTCTGTTATCCCTGCAGGTGCTATGAGAAGCCATCTTTCTGAATTCAAGAAACACCGAGCAGCCAGGATTGATCACTATGTAGTTGAAGTCAATAAGTTAATAATCAGGTTAGAAAAGGTAAATTTGGTGCTTTTAATATTCCAGCCTTCTAAATGTTTCCTAGATTAAAAAAAAAAAAAAAAAAAAAAAAAGATATTTCCATATGAAGTGTGTCCACTTATCTAGGAATACACTTCATAAAAAATACTAAACTGTGACTCTCTGTAGACATTACCTTGAGAACTGTGCATGATTTGACTCTGTGCCATGGGTATGATTTCTGGTTCTATGCACCATTTTCAAGCTGAAGATGCTACTTCCACTTGCTTCAAGAGCCATCTGTTCTCCTGATTTATTTTTCCATGTTTTACTTTACTAAATTGCTCCCCAGTATTTTTGTCATGATTCTTCCAGCCTTTTGTTCTTCAAAATCTCACAATGGTACACCTGCATTTTGGCTCACATGCAGTAATGTTGGCTGTAATAAGGATTATGTCCAAAATGTGCTCATTTGTACAGGTTTGAGAAGTCATTGTTTAGCATTGGTATGAACATGGAATTAGAAAAAAAAATGAAAGTTGCACAAGTCTGGTGTAAAACCAGCTGAAACTCCTCTCTCTTAAAAATACCAGGTTTCTTTTTCTTGTTGGACTGAGTTGTGTTGGGTTTTTTCCTTGCTAAGTATAATTTTCTTGAATATATTGTTTATCTTCAACCAGCTTACATCATTTGACAGAGCAAACACTGAGTCAGCTAAAATAAGAGGTTAGTGTGAGCTTACCTGAGACTATTTGCCCCTATAGTTTAACCAGCTGAGATATCAATTGAACACTTATGTGGTGTGTATTCCTGCTCACAGCTATAGAGAAGTCTGTTGTGCCTTGGGTCAGTGATCAGGATGTTCCATTTTGCCCAGACTGTGGCAGTAAGTTCAGTATCCGAAACAGACGTCACCACTGCCGTCTTTGTGGGTCTATTATGTGCAAGAAGTGCATGGAATTTGTCAGTCTTCCTTTGGCAAGTAAGTACTGTAGAGTTAAATCTTCATTTTCTTAGCTCACTTAGGGTGCATCCTGGCTTTTTGCCATTAGAAAAAAATACGCTGGTAATAGTCTGGCTCTGCAGAAAAATTCATTCAGTTTCATGCAGACACTTGTCTGTGAAGCAGAATACAAGGAATTATTTCTCCATTCTTTTTCTCCTTCTTCAGATTTGGAAGTGTTGTATAACACTGAAAAATTTACTAGAAGGAATAGTCATAATAGTAAATAAATACTAAGTAGTACAAAAGTAGTAAGTCCTGGTAAATTAAGGTATTCTACTGAGTACTATGGGGCTATTAACTTTAGGAACTGCCAAGGTTCCTGACATTTGAAAATATTGTGGATATTTCCAGTTTTGCCTGTTTTGTCCAAATGTTAGAACTTGGGACAACAACTTAGGGAAATTCATGTGTAGGTCTTTAAGAACTTTATTTTATTTTTTACTTTTATTTTTCTCACATGGTGCACTGGATAGGAGACTGTATGTTCTGTGGAGATAAATGACATTAAATTAACTGTGCCATTCAGAGTGTGCAAGCACAATGCCTGGAAGCCATTATCATACCTGTTCTACACATTGTTTTGTGACTGTGCAGGCTCAAACATGAGAATGCTTCTAGGCATAAGCAATGTAGGTGATGCTCAGCAGTCTGCTCTCTAGCTAGTTTTAAATACAGCAAGATTTGCAGTGAAGACCCAAATTGTGACTTGCAGTGGTGGTTGTTGTGCAATCCTTGCATGTCTTTCAGCAGACTCTTTCAACCTGGTTTTTTAGTACCACCTGAATGTAAATTTTCTGTTAAAAAGTCTGTTTGTGTTGGTAAAATCTGTTGGCTTCTCCAGTTACTGTAAAATTACCTGTGTATAACTTTCAGGCAAACTCACTAGTGCCAGCAAAGAAGCCTTGGGTTCTCACACAAGCCCGAACTCCTCACCCAGCAGTGTCCACGGCTCCCGCCGTGGCAGCATTAGCAGCATAAGCAGCGTGAGCTCTGTTCTGGATGAGAAGGATGATGAACGAATCCGTTGTTGTCAGCACTGCAAAGACACCCTGTTGAAAAGAGAGCAACAGATTGATGAGAAAGAATACACACCAGAGATTGTGAAACTCTATGAGGTAAGTCGAGCTCTGTGCTACAGCGTGCATGTCTGCAGTGGTCACTACTTGACTTTCAGCTTGTTACCTCATGTCTAAACTCTATGACTTAATACTGACTTGTGTTAGAAGAGACCGTTGGGTGTTTATGCCATATAGCAAAGACATATCTGAAATGCTGGAATCAGTTGCAATATAGTATTTACAGCCCACGTTAACTTCATACATATTTTTAATATATGTCTTCATTCTCATCATCTGGAACTAGTAGTTCAGACATGCCTCTCTCTCAAAATTGTGAACTTGTTTAAACCAGTGAGTGATATGCTGTGCATTTGATTGGTGGACTGCCCTGGAACCATAGTGCTCAATGTCACCACTGTTGCCATCAGTCTTTACACTGATGACAAATGCATTTTTTGCACCATCTCTATCAACATTACATTCAAAAGCTTTGCAGCAGGTACTGATGATCATCAGATACCTTTCAGTAGAGTCCACAAACTCCCCTGGTTTGTATTAGCGGAAGTTTTTGTTGGTGCTCTTGTTGGTGAAGAGATGTAAGGCTAGAAGTTGTCCAAGTCAGCCATTCAAACAGCTTCAAGATTCAAAGTCCAACTTGTAGTGGTACAGTGAGTCTTTGTCTGTTCCTGACAATGCCATATGTGTTCTGGAGATAACTGGAGAGTCTTTTCATCCTGAACATTTAAAGTGCTTTTCATCATGGTTAACTTCAAATCTGCACAAGCAACATGAAAAGATTCAACATGCCAACATCTTCTTGCATTAGTGTTTTAATATCTGTTCTTTTTTTATACATTTTGTTTTAATATTATAACAAGAAACTCCGACTCTGCATGGAGAAGGTTGACCAGAAGGCACCAGAATACATAAGGATGGCAGAATCACTAAAGTAAGTCCCATTGCTGGCTATGTAATGAATACATGTATTTGTCCTCTAGGTGTGAGAAGTAGTAAGGAGGTGGTGTACTAAGGCTGCAAGAGTGTGTAAATTTAAAGAAAAATCAGTGCTTCATTATCTCTTGTCTTCTGGATGCTTTTCAAACAAAGTGTACTGAATTAATTATTAATGGTAACATACCAAGAAGTTAGATTTGTTAATTTTTTAAAGCCACTTCCCAGTGAGGCATTACTGTCATACTTCGACACATCATCTTTGCAAAAAAAAGGAAGTACAAGGCTACAATTCTTGTGTAAATGAGACTTCAAAACAGCTGCAGTAAGCTGTTGCTGTCAGCTGGGATGCTCTGGCTTCCAAGGAGTGCCAGCAGAAGCACATCATTAGAACGCTTCTGTTCTGTGTAAAGCACCTTTACCTGTTGTTCTGAGTGTAGCTGGGTACCCTGTGCTGCAGTGGATGAGCAACAATCTCGTATTTCAGTTTTGTGCGTAATTTCTTGCAGTAGTATTCTCTCACTGGGGTAACTTAAGTCTCTCCAACTCTATCTGCAGGAGGTTGCCAGATATACTTTTGGCTCGTATTGTGAGAGAAATACACACATTGGTCTTTGACTAGGAAGCATTTCCTTTTGAAAAGTTAATAAATATTGCTATACCTGTCCTTTAGATCTGTTGGTTGTAGAAAAATTAATAACGAAAGTGCTTTGTAAAAACACTCCTCGCAATAGGAAGAAGTACAGAAAGTGAAAAGCCTGCTAAGATGTTACTGCTTTTTGTCATGAATTTATGAAAGATTGGGTTATGTGGCTTGGCAGCTGGAGAAAAGTAAAAACACAGATGTCCTGGATAATGGAAGTAAATGTCAGAAAACAACAGGCTTGTTATGGGTGAAATTAAAGATTTCTTATTAGTAGTGTGTCCTGGAAACTGGAATCCTATGGATAGTGAAGTTGCTTTTGAGAAAGTGATTCTTATAATTTATATTTGAGATACAAAAGGACAGGGAAGCTAAAAACTTGTGTTTTCCCCACTAAGTCCTAATTTGTTTTATCAGTAAAGTGGAGACTCTAGTGAAGTGCCTGTAATGATTGTGTCCCCATGTGGACAGTCATTTACTGGCATTTTAAATACTACACCCTGTTCAGCATAGTATTTTGCTTTCTGACAAGTGCTAGTGGAGGTCACTATTGTGCTTTAAAGGTGTAGTCAGTTACTCAGAGATTTTTCCCACCAAGTTGTCTCGAAAGAAATCCCCACAAAATAGATACATTTGCTAAGCATATATATATTTTAGATATTGCCTGTAGAGTGGCATTTTTGTGTTAGAATACAGTTTCCTAGAGTAGAAAGTAATAATATATAAGTAACAATAATTATATATATATATGATTAAATAATTGTATTTAATCATAAATACAGTTATCTTCTGTGAAGTGTTCATGTTCACAAAATTATTGTAATTTTCCACTTTTGTCACAAGAAAAGGTTTTTTAAACATGAGCTTGAAATAAAATCATTCAACCCTTTAGTGTTAGCAGTTCTTACCATTGTTAAATCTTGGTCATCTTGGAATAACTAGTAGTGTTGTACATGTTGTTAACTGGATGCATGGCTTACAATAAATTTCTATTTGTTCTTTAGTGCTGGAGAGTCAGCCTACAGCCTTGATCATGCTAATGACTTGAGGGTGGAGATTCAAAAAATGTATGAATTTATAGATGCATTGAGGTAAAAGATTGTCTCTCTCCCTTTTCCCCCCATCATGTATGGTATCTCTGTTATGACTTAACTGATTATATGGATGATCAATTTGTCTGCTCAGTTGTAAAGAGCATTTGAAAAGGTAGATGCTGTTCCTGTACACTAACAATTTCTACTTTCTTCTCCAGCCTTAAAATTCATGCATTCCTCTGCAGTAGGAATAAGTAAGCATAGAGGAAACAAGTAGCAGCACCATTGAGGGGAAAGGAATTGTTTGTTTGGGGTTTCTTTGTTTTTCTAAGGTTGGGAGTGGAAAGTGTTGCAAATTTTAATATCAAAAACTGTTATCTAAAGGAACATCAGAAGTCTTTAATCCAGTATTGTCTCTCCACTTCTGTGGCATTTTCCCTGATTTTGTTTTTGAACTGATGAGGCTGTATGTTTTCTTTGATTCAGTAAGAAGATTTTGAGTCTGGGCTTGCACGAAGATCCTCAACCTCATCCTAAAATACTACAGCTTCAGCGAATGATAAGATATTCAGCTACACTTTTTGTTCAGGTAAATAGAGCATATGCTGTGAGATGAATGTTCATTTTAGGTAGTGTTCTCTGCTTTGCCAGGCCTCCCTGTGGTTTGAAGCTATTTTGACAGGGGCCTTAGTTCTATACGTTTTCTGCATTTTTTGTAGTTCCCCTAATGACTTATGATAGCCTTAAACAAGCTGTCTTGAACACAGATCTTTCACTTATAGCAGCACTGGGTCTGGGGAACCCAAGAGGTCTGTGAGCCTTGGCTCTTCCTCTTGCTGAGGTTTGAGCCCACCCAGCTGTGGCAGCAGAGGTGCATGGAGACCTGCAGCAGGGACTGCAGTGTAGATGCATTTTAGGTGTGCTTGTGGGGTTTCTGCTGGTAGCATCTCTCTTCTCAAGGACTTGAAAAATGGGCTGAATACCTGCAAGCAATATGGTAAATATTTCAATTTTTGCCAGGAAAAATTGCTTGGCCTAATGTCGCTGCCAACTAAGGATCAGTATGAAGAACTGAAGAAGAGAAGACTGCATATGGTAAGACAGGTTGGGATCTGTTACATCTTGCATCAGGCTTTCTCATAGATATAAGCCTGGGAGCTGCGTGGGGATGTGCGTAGCTGCCTTCAATACTGGATTTCAGTTTGTTATTTTTTCGTCCATATTATCCCACCCCCTTTTCCAGGGATTTGCCTAGCTGCTGCTTTGTTCTGCCCAGAACAGAAGTAGGTGGGCACAAAGCTGGACACTTCTAGAAAGCAGCAGGAAGTTGGGTGCACGGACTGTTTCTGCTGCGGTGCGTGCAGAGCAAGCCCTGAAGTGAGTGTGTTAGTTTACACTGACTTGGAAATTGTGTTCAGGAATTCACTCACATAAGTAGAATTGGGAAACTTCTTTTGTTGGTGGGAAAGGACGTACTAGAATAAGGATGCCCCTGCAGGGAGAGAGGCTTTTTTTCCTTTAGGAGGGAGTATATCTTTAATTATAAACTAAAGCCAACTTCATCTTGAGGTATAAGTTGAGAAATAAGAATAATCCCACTCCAAAAGCAAGTGATATTAGTGATCTTAAACACTGATGTGTTCTATGTGATACAATTGATGTCCAAATCAATCTAGACCACTCTTTGCACAGCTGCATTAGGCATTTTTTTCCTCTATAAAGAGAATTATTGCTCCTACTTTCCCTCAAGTTTGCAGAGGCAGATGTCATCGATTTTTCATCAGTATCATCACAAACTCAAGGGAGAGGCATGTAAGGAAGAATATGAAAGTAAGAATCTTCTGCAAAGTAACCAAAATGGCAGCTGATCCCTTTAAGCATCAGCCAACAATGTCTTAAGATCAGCTAACTTGTACCTATGGATACTTAGAATGAAAATTTTCAAGCTTGTGGTGTTTTCTTACTACATGTTTTTTGGTTTAGGTCACTCTTGAAACACAGGGAAAACAAGAGGAAAAGCAGAAGGAGTTTATATCCATATCTGCATCTGCAGTTAATGGTGATGAAACTCACATAAAAAAAGGAACAGTCAAAAAATCTGAAGGCTGGTTACCCACATCTAGCATTTCGAGAGAGAGTGAGAGAGCAGACCCACTTCTTCAGCAGATTGACAATATCACATCCTTTATTAAGCAAGCAAAGGCAGCTAATAGGATAGATGAGGTCCATACGCTGCAAGAGAACCTGATGCAGCTTCAGGATGAATACGATCAACAACAAACTCTGAAAGCTATTGAGCTTTCTAAAAAACAGGCAGAAGAAGAGGAGATACAGAGGGAGGAACTTCAGGTCCTTCGTGAAAAAGAGTGGGAAAGAGAGCACCATAAATTCACGTCTCAGCATTCAAGGACACGCTCCTTAGACTTCAGAGAAGTCAAACAGCATTTGGATGTTACTTGGATCAAAGGGGACACGAGTTTTGAAACTCCTGCTGTTGAGCAGCTGCCAGCAAAAGAGCACTCGACCTTCACACTCAAACCCCAGAATGTCCCACAGTGTGACAAAGACTGCAATCAGCCAGCCTGTCTAAACCCCTTTGAGGATGAAGCAGATACCCCTCAGGTAGAAGATCCTGCTAATCCATTTGCCAAAGACACCTCTCCAGTGGTTTCTTTCTCTAACACAGCTCAGCAAAGCGATAAAAAAGAATATAATCCATTTGAAAGTGAGGAGGAGGATGAACAAAGTAATGGAGCACCTGGCAGTACTTCAAACCCCTTTGAAGAGGATGAAAATACATATGAAAAGCCTGGGGGCAGTTGGAATTCAGGGAATCCATTTGAAGAGGGATCCTCTATCAATCCCTTTGAAGTGGAGGATGGCAGTGAGATCTCTGGAGAGGAGGCTATAGAGGAAGAGCTGCTTCTCCAACAGATAGATAATATTAAAGCTTACATATTTGATGCCAAACATAGTGGACGACTGGATGAGGTGGAGGTACTGACAGAGAACTTAAAGGAACTGAAACACACATTAGCAAAGCAGAAGGAGAAATCTAACTGCTGAAGCAGCAATAGGGCAGTGTAATAATTCAGTCTGCTGTTAAATGTGGGAAGGTAAAGCAGATACTTACAGACAGGAGTACAGCTCACAAGAGGGAATTGGGAGAATCCTGACTTTAAAGCACTTTCATTTAGACATTGCCACTACTACACAGTCTTGAAGAAAGAATTACTGAGGAATGCTGCTGGTCTCAAAAGCTTAGAGTAAGAAATTTTAAAATAACTCCTTACAGCACTTTTTAATGCTAACTGGTCTTACTGAATGCTTATTTTGGTCCAGGGGTTAAGTGCTAATAGGGAACTATGATGTGGAAGTGGTTGGAATGTTGGTTTGCCCTCTTTCTTGCTTTCTGCTGTAGTGTTGGCCTTTCAAGTGTGGCTTTGAGTAAAGAGAGATGAAAACTTTTCCAAAACTTCTTCATCCTCTCCTGACCCAGGGTAGTTGAACGGCTAATGGTGTTCTGGCAATGTGATGTTAAAGAGCTGCTGTGATTCTCCGGGGTGCTGAATGTACAGGCTCGCAGATCGAGTTCATGCAATGCTAATAAATACATAAAAGGGATCTTAAGACTGAGAAAAACTTTCTAACTGATCTTAGTATGAGTAACTTGTTAGTGTCTGTATAAAGATTCCCAAGTAAAATTTGGATGCTTCATCACTTGTGGTTTCCCATTTGCTCTGAGCGTAAACAATTGTGTCATAGCATCATGCTGGCTTCAGACCTGCTCATGAGGAAGCAAGCATTTGCTCATTTCCAGGGAAATGAGCATCAGGCCAACACTACTTCTATCTGCAATATAAAAGGTGAAGCTCCAATTGCTAATTACATTATGGAATCTACACATTCCTTTAAATCCTCTGGGTGACAGAATGATCATGTGTGTTGTATTTGTGAGACTGGAATATTTTGTAGCACCCAAGCAACAAAAGTTTGTTTATAATGGAAAGCTGAGATGCCACTGGAATTTTGTGAAAGCTGGAAGACAATTTAGCTGCATTAGTGCCAAATGGCAATTCTCTCTCATGTTAGATTCCCCTCAGTTTTTATGAGAATCAGGCATACCTGTTTTAAATAAGGAACTTCAGATTGAAGACCTCTTGTGATCTTGTGGCCTAGGGGATGACCAGGTGACAGCCAGTAGCTGTGATGCAGGAGGGCCTACAGCTGGGCAAATGCAGGGTTTTTGAGAAAGATGAAATCTAACTGCTTTGATTTTTATCTTTGAGTCACAGATCCATCAGCAGGAATCACTGTTTGCAGGAGTGGTGGTGGTGAGTTAATCTTAAAAGGTTTTTTTTTTAACTGAAATAGAGGAAAATCAGGCAGATCACACTGTATAGCACTAACAATAGTGGGCTTACTCAGAAGTGTGAAGTTCTGTGGAATGGGACATATCTTTTAATTATGTCTCTGATATTGGCATAGCTGTAAACCCAACACTGCTTAAGATTTTACAGACAAGTAACGCTGTTACCTAAAGAGCAGGAACTCCGGTTCCTAGCTGTAAGTGGAGGTAGGGACTTGTGGAACTGTTGTTTAAAAAGACCAAGCCACCTATATCCTCACTTCGTACCACTAGCAAGGGGTGAAGTAACTCAGACCAGCCAGTCAAGGATACCTGATGGTCTGCCTGGTGTAGCCTAATTCTGGTTTTCAAAGGTGTGCAGAAAAGGGTAGTTAAGACCATGAAGTTCTTATTTTAGTCTCCAAGTGTTATTTTGCACCAAGCAGAAGAAAGAACACAGGATTCTGAAAGGTCTTGACAGAACATAGGTGCTTGGCACCAGATTCATGAAGGCAGCAAAAATTGTTGATAGCTAAACAGAATCCCTGGAATTATTTAAGAGACAAGTATAAGGTAGTTATTTAGGACATACTTCGTTGCTAGTCAGGAGGATTGCACTCTAACCTAATGCTTTTTTAGGTATCAACATGAAAAAATGTTTCAGTGGCTTCAGCTTTCACATTAAAAAGTGTTTTTTTCCTTGTTGCAACTATCCTGCCTCGTTTATATTTTCTGGCTAATACACTAATAACTGAAATATTCCTATTGCATATGTAATACATTATTTTTACAAGCAGATAACAGACTAGGATACCTCATGATCTTTGTCAGTGTTAACTGTGATAGACTAGACAGCTAATACTAAAATTGTCTCTAACATGAAGACCTTTGTTGGTATAGGTACTGCTGTAAGGCTTGCAGGGCACAAGGGAATGAAGATGTCTTAAGCATAAAGCTCAATAACTAATTAGCATAATTAGCATGGACTTTTGTTACAATTGCATGCACTACTCCATATGAAAACTTTGTAAGAAGAGATTAAATAAAACAACATGTTTATTTTGTGTTGTGTTTGTCCTTGACAGTTTGTACAGGATGCTTGCATCCATGTGAAATTTTGTATTCAGCTGTGAATTCAGAAATGCTGCAATACAGTTCTACAGTGACTTGATAAGCCTGACATAAAGGTCTGTACAGTAGAGTACAATGTATCACGTTTATACATATTACAGGGACGGTGTAATTGTTTGGTGAGGCAGAAACTGTGATGATTTAGAAGGGGTTTTTTTGATAATTGTAAAACTTACCTTTCATATACCATTCTTCTTTCCTGCTGATGTTCCTGACTTGATCAGTGCTTCTCAGAGCTGCTGTATCAACTGCAAAAATTGTATCTTGCTGGAAATGAGACTCTGAACTGTTTCTAATTCCTAACTACATAAATTAGGAAAATTCAGTTGAGACTGGAGTTATATTATCATTTGGCTGTCTTCAGTTGGTATAATACAGACTTTTGCACCACTTTCTACAAATTACGGAATTCTGCTCTACTTCTAGATTTAATTTTTTAGTCTAGCCTCTATCCCAAAGAAAACATGATCTTGGTTTTGCCATAATTGGTTACCTGCAGGCATGAATAAGAAATAAGACAATATTAATTTTGTTTTCCAGTTTTGACTTGCAATACTTTGTAGAACCACAGCTTTTTTTTTGTGCCAGTTTTAACTTTTATTTATTTTTCACTTTATTGTAGTTGTAGATGTAAGAAGGCTTATGAGGCAGAGTTGTCTGTATTGAATGAACTTGCTTGTTCCTGTTCCCAGGAACCGTTGGCTCTTCTCTCACTGAAGCACCTTCATTGTCCAGCCCTGAGGAAAAACAGCTGCATGACTTGAGACATTGAAATATCAGGCTCCTGCCTCATTTTTCATAGCAGCTTTGTATTTTCCTCTCATCTCTTTGGGCAATGGTACAAAAGCAGGGCAGGGAACTTGGCCTTCAATCTCACACATGCATTCTCGCAGATGATACTTCTTGGGCCCGAAGGTTGCTGGATGCGATAGTTTTTTCCTTTCTCCTTCTTCTTTTTCAAGCGTTTCTCTAGAAAAGAGATCTGTTTGTTACTATCAGAAGTCTGACTTCCTCTCCCTTCCCTGGACCCAGGTTATCAGAAAGATGGGTTTACAGTTCTTACCTTGCTTGCGTCACTTTTATCCAGGAAATGTGGTATTTCCTTCTGTATTCCACAAAAGTTTATAATATATATGCTAGATGATATCTGCTTACTGCGTGCTACTTACTTGCTTTTCCCCAGGATTTTTTTGACATGCTCTGTTATCTCTTTGTTGGTTTTATCTTCCACATCAACCAAAACTTGTTCTCCACTGTCTGTCAAGAAAAAATCATGATAGTGTATCAAAGGATACCACTTCCTCTTGCATGCTGTTGAGAGAGGCTTTAAACGCACAGAAATGAAGGATCTCCTTCCCTTCTGCGGTTCATGTGTAATGCAGTATTTTTAGTGGAAAAGCAAAATCTCTATGAGGAGGAATCTAGGGGAGCTGCTAACGGCTAACGCTCCGTTCCGATCAAGCGGCTTCTCTCCCCGCAGCCGCCGAGGCGGGGCCGAGTGAGCACGGCACGAAGGGGCGGTAAGGACTCTGCGGCTCCGGCGGTCCCTGCGGCGGGCCGGACCTACCCAGGTAGAACCGGAGGAAGGGCGAGGGAGTCATGTTCCTGAACAGCATGATCTGCACCCAGGGGTTCTTGTACTGGATCTGGGGGATGTTGAAAAACACGAACTTTCTGGAAAGAAAGAGAAAAGCACACAAGGGCTGGCCCGTTGTCGGTGCGGAGGGCGCGGCCCGCGCAAGCCCTGGTGTGTTTGCAGGGGCAGCCCGCGCTCCCGCCGCGCCCCGCGCTCACCTTGCGCCTTCGCTCAGCTCTCCCGCCGTGTTGTAGTTCACGGTCATCACCTTCACCGAGCTCTTGAACACGATGTCGCCCTGGCTGAGGTACTGCAGGGTCCGGCGCACCGGGAAGCGGCCCTTCATCGGCATCGCGGCGGCGGCCGGAAGGGGAGGCAGCGCTCCCGCGCGCCCCCTGGCGGAGGCTCCGCCGATCCCGTTCCCGGCAGTGCCCGCGCGGGGCGCGCGCTGTGCCCGGGCCCGGCGGCGCGAGGGCCGTGAGGGGCCTGAGGGGCCGTGAGCGGCCTGAGGGGCCGTGAGGGGCCGTGAGGGGCCGTGAGGGGCCGTGAGGGGCCGTGAGGGGCCGTGAGGGGCCCCGCGCACAGCCGCGACAGCTTTGGCGCTACCCAAAGTTTTCTGTTCACGATGAATTAAAAACGTAGGAAAAGCCCTGTCTCCTCCTAGAGAAGCTCCTTGGAGTCAGGAAGGTAATGGAATTTCTTTTCCATACCAGACCCGGTTAAATCTCTCCTAAGATAATCACTGTGGTGAAGGCAAAATGATGTTTCTCCCTAAAAGATAGTAAATTATGTCTTTGGCTTAGCTCCTGTTCAAGAGGAACTTAAATGAACTTCAAAATAAAACTCAAGAATGCAATTACATTTGTAATTCACTTTAATGGTAGAAACCTCATTTAGCTACTAGTATTAACTGCAACAATATAATGTCACAACAGCATTTAATAAAATGCATAAGCTAAATCATGCACTGCAATACTCTATATACAAACACGACAATGCAAATTCCTCTTTGTGACTGAAAACATTGTTTGGATATAAAATTTAGTTTAAAAAAAGAACATGCTATTGTTTTTAAATGCTACCACACACAACAATACTGATTTCACAAAAGAAGCTGTGAGAAATTAGAAACTTTTGCAGTTTTTAAAATAAACAATAGTTTTCTAAATTATAAGGAATAGAGACTTCCAGAAAATATCCCAAGGAACTGAAAGTAGATGCTTCCTTTTTTAAAAATTTGCTGATTTTTAGGAGCTCAGCACTCCCTAGTATGCCAATACAGATACAACTGTGCACTTTTCAGTTAGGAAATTATGAACACTGCCTTCTAGTGTATTTCAGAGTACAGATTAATTACAAAAAATATTCCAACATTCGATCTTGATTCCATATACAGAAAATTTAACATATACCGGCTGTAAGTAAAATGTTTTCTTCTTAAAGACTGTGCTTTTTGTTTTAAGTTTATTCAGTCCTACTTTAACCCACAGTCATGAAAATACCGTAAAATGGACCTGTGTTGTATTATTGCAGAGCCCTTATTGCCACTAAATTTGAGCACATTTTGTCCTTCAGAATACAAACAATTCAAATGTGGAATTTGGTTCACTGAACTTTGCATTTTTTTTTCCTGAATTCACAGTTGAGTTTTTAAACTGATTCAATCTTGCATTAGTGCCCCAATTGGCATCCTAAACTTTAAAACTATTCCTGCAGTACAGTGACTTTAACAGACTTTCAGGTTTCTATTCACCTTTAAAGAGGAAAGCAAGCGTTCCAACACCACCAACTGTCCAGACACCATTGAAGGAACATCTGTCACAGAAATTCCTGACATTAATTTACATATTTCTCCTGCTGAAAATCACAGAAATAAGGTTTTGAAATGCTACAGGTTTATTCCTATATTTGAAATAAAAGCTTACAAATGCTCACTAACCAATACACTAAGAAAGACAGCATTCTCAGCATTTTCCATAGCAAACTTTCCTCAGACTTGTGGTTCACTTTAAGCATGCACAAAGTTCATGCTATTTTGATTAGCGTCTTATTATCGGATTAAGCATACACAAGTCTTTGTCACAGTGAGCACAAAAGGTGGAAATAAATGCCCAGAAAATTCTATTTCACCTTTTTAATGACAGAAACAAGACTTGCTGAACTACTGCCCTGCATGGTCTGCGAAATGGTTTTTTAAAAACCCACAGTTAACAAACAGATTTACTTTATGGAAGTCTTCCTTTTTAACTTCATCTAAAAGGAAGAAGAACAAGCTTTGATAATGTAAAAGCTTGAGTCCTCATTATGAATAAGAAATTGTCTTTCTCCACATCTCATTTCCCAACTGTGTGCGCAGGTCCCACGTGGACAGTGGGACTGTCACAGGCAGTGCAGGAGCTGCACAGATTGCAGACCCAGGAGAGGACAGATTGTGGAAACGGACATTAGCCTGACAACTAAATTAAGAAACTAGCTGTGTTCAGTTTAGGCTGGAAAATAAAAACTTTGGAAAGTGAATATACAATTGAAATGCATTGTGAAAATCCTGAAGATGTCTTGATGCTTGCTAAGAAATAAACTACCTGCAATGTCCCTACTATTTAATTACCATTATACCAGAGTTGCTGTTTCACTGACCGGAGCACACAGTCTCTAACTCACAGGTTGATTTCATGAGATTGCTACGACAATATGGCTATTGATTTATTAAACAGCATCTGTTACCTCCTGTTCTGTGTGCTGCAGTTCAGTGATAAATGGCAACTTGGTTTACTTTCAGTTAGCCATAGATGAAGACTTAAAACCAAAAAATCAGCCTCTTACCAAGCTTCACAAAAAATACAACTTTACAAAAGTATCTCAGGAGGGCTGGAAAAGAATGAGTATATAATGAGCAGGGAAGCATTTTCTATGCCTATAGTTATTTATTCATTATTTTTAAAAGGCATTATATGCTCAATTGACTATTGACTAGCAGACCTCTATAGGTCAAATGAGAAAAAGTAAAGAGAATAATATCAAAGCCAGAAAATTCATAGAATATATTTGTCAGTTCTGAACAGCAAATAGTGGATTCAGACTGGTTTAGAAAAAAGGTGCAAAGCTCTGAAATTTGTGAGGATTCACCAAATTAGGAAGCTCTTGATTAGCAAATGAATAAAAAACTTTAGCACATAGAATAGATGAATAATGGCTCCATATCTGTACATATATACATACACTACACATTTCCTATACACTGTACAGAATATATTTAGACAGAGAGGTATAAACATATACATTCATACACACATACATACAGCTATGTACATATGCATCAGCTGCTCGAGTGAGTTCTAGAACTGAACATGCAGAAATGCACAATGGTGGGAGGCACAAAACAGACGTGTATAACTCTATCAAACCCCTTAAAAAGAAAGGCAGGAATTTAACAATAATAAGCCATTTTCAAAGCATTCACGTAACTCAGGATTGAACAGATTTTGGGCATTAATGGAACATTACAACAGTATTACCTGTGATGAACTTAGCTTGACTTCACAATAAAAAACATCTAAACTTTACAAAGAATTTTACTTTAACTTGTCACCCCAGACCCTCTAATTTTTTTTTCACACATAATTTCCCATATGTTGATAACACTGATTGCAGCTGAAGTAGGGTTGTAGCATTATCTAACAAGAAGGGCTAATGGCATCAAACAGTAAGCCTGAACTTAATTCAGGAGTATTTACTGTTAAAATGACTCAGCAACTTTAGAATTAAAAGGTGCAAAAAGTAAATGCTTTCATTTTCTCTCCTTTGCCATCCCCTCTTGGTAATTTTTCATGTAAGGCTGTTTCTAAACTAAGTTCCTGTCATTCAAGATCCAGTAAATGCTAGCAATTTGTCCTTCCTCTACCCCTCACTTTCCTCTCTAGGGTGACCATCCCCTCATTTGGCTGATCCCTCCTGGATGTTTGGAGGTGTTAGGACTGCACACTGTTGTGTGCTGTTGTCAGCTGGCCCATGCTTATCACCAAAGCCAACTACTGCAAAAGCTCTTCTGTTGCTGGGTGGCCAGTGTGGCAAACCGTGGGAACAGGTGGGAATCTGCCTGTGTTTTCTGGCATTTATGCTTTTCCTTTTATGGACAAGAGTAGGTGAAAAAAAACCCCAACATGCCCTGGTTTTGCACTATTAAGAGTAACTGGGGAGGAAGAGAGGGATCTCAAATAGAAAATGAACATTTTTGTTCTTTCCAGGATAGTATCATCCAGTAGGTATGTGCTGGTACACCTGTGTGTCTGACTGACCTGCCAGTTCTACTGCTCACTTCTCCTGATTCAAACAGGGCCCTGACTGGTGCCGTTAGTGCAGGAAGCTGCTTTATCACTGATTGAGCAGTACCCTCAGCCCATTCATTTCCAGTTCTGTCTTTCTGGTTAATCTATATTCTTGAAACCCTTTGCTAGTCATGCTATTTGGTTCTATTTTTTCAAAATTGTCTTTTACTAATTAAACAGCAGGTAATCAGGAAAGAATCCTAACTACTGTCTGAACTTTAATGGGCAGAAAAATCTACTGACACCTGCAGTATCCTGAATGAAATAATTAATTCAGGAATGAGTCCTGTGTACTATACAGAACAATAAAAAAACCACGCAAGTGTTTTACAGTCTCTGCCAAAGGAGAAAAAAGAGTCAGGAAACTGATTTCACCTACTTCAGTCAGCTTCAGCCCTGACTTGGCTTCTCTATGGCAGCCTCAGAATGTGCCCTTTGCCAAAGGGAACTGTAGTGGTGATGCAGAGCTGCTGGATTCTGCACACAGATCTGGAACCAGAGCTCCTCACCAGAGGCGTCGTGGCTGTCTGGGGGGCCATGGGCTTCAGAAGATGGTGAAAGGAGACTTGGCCAATGACGCCAACTAAGCAGTGGAGAGCAACCATAGTTTCTTGCCACAGTGTGCTCTGAAAACTAAGCCTTCTTAATGATCTAACATTTTAAGGCAGCTAAAAGAAAGCCTTGTATGACTTCTTAGAAGGATCTCTCCCTGGAGATAGTTTTTTCTTCTTCTACCAGTTTCATGCCAGAGTAACTTCACAGACACCAAAGCATTGCAGCCAATTCATAAGCAATGTAAATAGGCTGAGAAAGATTACTTTTGCACATGATATTAGTTCTGACTCTACAGTCCCATGTAAGTAAATAAAAGGAAAAAAAGAGTATACCTACATTTGTCACAAATGCAATTAAATCATATGGGACAAAGCTAGTCCCAAGTGCTTTTTATCTACAAGATTCAAATCCAGTTCCTTTGCAAAAGAGTTGGAAAATAAATGAAGCACAGTGGGCATTACTGCCTCATTATTATTCCCTACACTGCCTCATTATCATGCCCCAGTCTCAGTCAGCACAGAATTCTAACATTTGTCTGATGGAATTGTGACTAGTATACACATTTGCTCAGGTTCAGATAAATCAAATCAGATAATTTATTACTGTATGTCTGTCAAGTTAAAATATTTTCAAGAGCAGCAGAAAGAGAACCACAGAAGTTCTGAAGAGAATAAATATTGGCACAAAGTAGAGCTTCTTCCTGGAATCACTTTGTGACTGTGATAATTTGACTCCAAGTTATGGTGAAAAAACAAATTTGGCATTTAAATTTCACCTTTATGAAAACAAGTTATTTCTGTATTTAATACTCAAGAAGTAGTTCTTCCATAATTGTTACAGTATTAAAAAACTCTCCTCTCCCATATTCATAAGGAAAAGTTTGCACTTTTAAAGGATAAAAAAAAACTAATTTAACAGTAAAGCTAAGATTAGCCTGTTACCATCTTCCAGTCACTGCAAGGAGGGATGGAACAAACCTCAGAAATTCCAAGAACTATGTCAGTGTTGCAGTATTTTCTGCAGAGACGGTGCAAAGCTTGTGCATCACAGGCTCCTACTGCCACTGAAAGGGATCGGTACAGGGGAGAAATGGGCCAGTGGGAACCATGTGAAGTTCAAAGAGGGGAAGCACAGAGTCCTTTTCCCAGGTAGGAAACAGCCCAGGCACCCACATATGTTCAAATTTCTACAATCCAAAATGTTAGTCTTGGAATCAAAATAATGTATAGTTGGAAAGATTATTTCTTGTTAATGGCATCAGAACTAAGTAGCTTGGTTCTGACCTCTGCAAGTCAGCAAATCATGCTAATGGTGCTACGCAGAGAGGGACTTTATAGCTTTTAGGTGATAATACCCAAATCTTAAGGGTGGAACTGGTTCATTTCATCTGCTAAATGCATGCACAACTATGGATGGCATGGTTATTACTCAGTTTACAAAAATTAATATTTTATCCCTAATAAGCTATTTAGTAACTATTTGCAGAGCAAGGATATCATTATGTGGCCTTGCATTTGTGGGGAGTGTGGTTTACTTGTAAACAGAGCTGCATGATATTTATTGTTTCGATTTACGTGTGTAATGCAAGGCACACATTCTACATTTAATTTCATGTGATTGCTATGTTCACAAAAAACTATAATGCCTCTTTCCTGAATTGTTATGATCACAAGTAATAAAAATGACAAATTTTCACACAGAAAATGGGGCACTTTTACTTGAAAAATTGGAAGTCGAAATTATGTTTGTCAAGAAACAAACTGAGATTTAAAACCAAATATTCCAATGGCTAGTTTTTGTGCTAAGGACTATTTCATTTACCATTAAAATGCTTTCTTATCTGCCTAAATGATTTTTATTAAATTCTGAAAGCAAATTAAGTTTTGCAATCCTTTTGGCAATAAAAATAATCAAATAGTTCAATGCATTCTTCTTGCAGAACAATGACGTAACCCAGTAAAATTTTAAATTTTAACAAAAGCAGCCACTACTCTTTCCAAGGTAGCTACTGTTTCTGATTAATTACCATTAATTTTTAAGTTGTATACCCTAAACGTAAGGGCTGTGCAGCAGAAGTGCAGACACAATCCTGCAGCAGTTATACTACAGTCAGGTGGTTGGTACTAAACCTGAAGTCCAGCTGACTTCACATGTAGACAGCAGACTTTCCATAGCAAGAAAAATATGACAATTTCATTTGCTATAGCAAAAGCTGAGAGAGATACAAGTGCAGTATTACAATCTCTGCATGGATACTGGACTTTGCAATACCCTTCTGAGAAAAAAAGATACTGAATATGCTAAAAATAGTAACTGTAGAAGACTTTAATGCATCTAGAAGCTAAAATTAAATAGTCTTTTGTGTCACAGTAAGTGCTACAAATGTCAGCCTCCTAACAAGCATGAAGTATGCAAGCTCTTTTTGTTACTTTAGAAGCCTCATCTAAAGCTGCTTAAGGTCTTCTGGCTACAATTCAGACTCTGAAAAGTCACGAACACCAACATAGTTGATGTTTCTAAATAAATATCAGTAACAGAAAAAAAACCAAAGTGCTGAACTTACCATTAGATAAGTTTTGTCACATAAATCTACTAATGTACGAATGCCTCTAACACACAAATAATTAAAATAATTAATGCATCTAATGTACTAATGACTACTACTACTAGCAAACATGTTGATGGCTCATCACTCGAGACAATTCAAAAATAGTTCATTTTATACCTCCATGGTGCATCAATCATCAACTGCAATTGTACATGAGTGAGAGTAAATCCTAACTATATTTTAGTTTCATACTGAGTGACAGGAAAGTTGAGAACACTGCAAAACTGGGAGGGCTCCATGAGGGAGGGAGCGAGAAATAAAGTGAGAGAGCTTTGTAATAAACTCATGCTGACGACCAGAGGTTCTACACATTTCAGGTCTTAAATTGTACCCTGTGGCTACATTATGAGGGTGTTCAAAGTACAGAGAGGAGGAGTAAATTTGGAGCATACAAAGAGCACACTCAAAGAGCATCACACAGCTCTATTTGAAAATTACTGCTCTTCCAGTTAATGACTGCTTTTCCCCAAAGTCGAAAGGCTGCTTATTAGAAGAACATTTGGCATGATTGTGTTTGTCTGAATAAACACTTTAAGGAACCTGCATATTTAATCATTATTGTGACAAACACTTTGTTTTCTCTAGCGTGGGGAATTCCTGTAGCACATAATAGTCACTATGACTGCACTGTACCATGTATTACAACTGCACTAATTTAACAGATATAGTTTCATATAATGTGGATATCTGATTTAAGGATCCACATTAATATTTCATGCATAACATAACAGCAAGTGACTTTTTGTAGATTAAATGATTGTCTTCTTTATCATTCTACATTTTTACAAAAATCACTAGCATTTTGACTAAGGACATATGCATTTTTTTCATTTTCCATACTCATAAGCAGGATGTTGATGATGCTGTTGCTCTGACAAGAAGTGATTACAAAGTGCTAGTATTATACCCTGGCATTTGCTAGACATTCATTCCAAGGATATTTTTAAATATATACATACTGTTCTTTTTACTTTTAAAGTAATTTTATTACTACTCTGATATTATAAAACTCTTTTTACCACTGATAGTTTCTAAATACAAAGCATGTGAAAAGTATGTTCAGTAATCTATGGCCTTTTAAATGAAAGGCATCAAAAATATTCCTTGTGGCAGGAAAGGTCCTATAGTAGGTGTTTTAATAGCTGCTTTAAATTTTGTCAACATCAGAAAACAACAAGGAGAAATCTGTCAGGAAACTGATAACAAGTTGGAAATGTCTGCACATACCAAAACACTACTCTTTTAACTTCGTAATTATATGGTTTTTGTGAAAATTAATTCAATCCCTCAAATGACGTTGTTCCCTCTATGCAGACATGCCAGTTATTTGACCATTATATTCTGCTGTTTCCATTTTGAGAATGTAGGGGATTATGCTGTCAATGGGAACATTTCCAATGAGACCTGTGAAAAACAGTTCCTCGGTGATGCTAGAGCTCATCAGCCTAAGTGCTGGCAGGCGAACTAGGATCCGGGCTAGCCTGAAAAAGAAGTTCAGTGGATTATAAATACATGTAAGACCAGTTTAAGATAGTCTATGGCTAAAGAGCTGGATCTGCCTTTATTATTACCATAATTCATGAATAGGCATAAAGAGGCAATTAAAGCTAATTTGGCTACATGACAAAAAGAATGGTTGCTGTTCTATCCTGCAAGCAAAATGAAAGCCAAGTAGCTTTGTAGTTTTCCAATGAAAGGGACACGTTAATGCCCTTTGTAGACAGAACATGTATGTACAAGCACACAGTTTTCTTGGCCTGCTTTTGAAATTCCCAGCTCTGGATAAACAATGCTGGGACTAATAATATTCATGTTGATTAGTGTGAACTTTTTAAGAGTACAATGCTTAATTAAAATTTCAGCCATAAACAGCATAGTCCTCAGTTGCCTAGCAACTTCATGCCAAATGAGATAGCAGGAAGGGGGCTGGATGTGTAGAAACAGAAAAAAGAGAATCTGCTTCTAATGAGAGAAGGAACTTGGGGAAAGGTACTGTTAAGCATAAATATTCCCAAATTGCCCTGGTGTTTTATTTACTAGGATGTTAACAGATATCCAGTACAATGAAGTGACTGTATTGAAATGCTAGACTTTCCATTAATATGAAATTTAGGACAGTGATGAAAGCATTTTGCTGCCATTCATGTGGCAAATGTGCATCACAAATGCTAAACCAAATAAATTTTCTGAACCACAACCTTGTAATAGGAAACACCTCAGGTAGCACTGACCACAGCTGCTCTGGAGAATGCTTGAATATTTATGGGGAAAATATCTATGGTCCATTCTGCTAATATACCCTACCTTGTAAACTTCAGGGCAAAAAGATTAAAACTATGCTGTTGTTTTTATGAAAATTGTAACACTTGTCCCTCATCTCAGTTGCTCAGAAATAATCAGATTTGTTCTGTAAACTTGTCTATGGGTGAGCATGGAGATGGAGACACTGTTACTTAAAATACAAGACACTGCTTGGGGAATGCAGCTCTGATTTTCTACTCTGAGACACTATTATGATAAGTAAGTGTATGGAACAAATTTTATATTTAGTTTTATGGTAGATATTCAGCTCTCACTAATCAAACCAGAAGGCCTCAATTGTACATGGAAGAATGTGGGATTTGAGGATATTTCTGAGGCAGAGAATCCTATTTCATCACACCACAGCATTAATTCTGTAAGATCAGTGTAGAAAACAGAGATGGGAGAAACTCTCTTTTTCAGACAGTTTTTTTTCTCCTTTTTAGTTATTCCACCCTCAGATAGTGCTTAAGTGTTTGGGATTTCTTCTTTACATAAGGATGCCTTTCACAGTAAAAAAGAACATGTTCTAGTATATCTTGCAGACAGAGGTAAGAAGTTCCCTGATAGTGCAGAGAATCATTTGTGTTGAGGAATTTTACATTTTAATGGACATTGTTAGAAAATATGGTAATTGTTTCTAGCACATAACAAACAGAATAGTTGAGAAGAGAAAAAAAGGCAAGCTAGATAATTTCAGAGAAGTCCTTAGAAATTAAAAAAACCAAACCAAACAAACCCAGAGGAGAAAATAAGTAGGATGTGGGAATTTCTTACTAACAGAAGTTTGAGCAGTGGTTATTGTTCCGTGTTATATGTAATCATTGTTTTTCCAAGGGCTATAACTGACAGTTCTAACATTTTTCTGCATATGCAACTTGAAAAACATTTCAAGGATGATAATCATCTTTCAGTTGTCAGAGAGACTTTAAAATAATAACTTGAAAAAAGAAGCAGTGTGAATTAGTCAGTTGAAGCAGTTGTCCCCCGAACCTCTAAAAAAATAAATAAGTCTGTTTACTTTTCTATACATGACTATGAGAGTCTCAAAAAACCCCCTCAAAAACCAAGAAAGTACTAATAAATTTAATTTACATGGAGGAAGCTAGACAGCTATTCTTGTTTCTACATATTTTTAAACAAACCTGCTTGCTTTTATGAATTAGGTTTTAGTTCTTTCTCATCCACAGTCAGAAAAAACCCCAAACCCCAGATGTCAAAAACATCAATTACATTATTTTGTACTTCTGTTAGCTACAGCCCACAACATTACTTTGGGTACTTCAGACAATAAATACCTATAAGTATCTTCTGGATAGGTTTTTTGTACATAGTCCTGCAATTCCATCTGTGCCTTCTCCTGGAATTTTTCTATTTGGGTTGAACTGGTCAGACCAGGGTGATCTAAAGAAACAAAACATTTCTGTATGTCGATTGTTTCCCTATACATTGTGAAATAAATGTATCTATAAGACTCTCATATTTAATTTCAATGAAACATTTCTCTGTTATTGTGATGTTTAACATGCTAGCTGTATAAAGGTAAGCATTTACTTCCTGGCTTCAGAATTAGCTTGTTCACTTTTCTCTCTAGAGCTGTGTGTGTCCATAAGAAAGTGGACTAAGATTAAGCCTGTATGTGTGTACCAGGCAATGACACAGAATTTGTTTTTAACTTTGCCTGTTTAAATGTAAACATGTTCGCCTCTGTGATTTGTTCTAACTAGGCTGGCTAAGCAGTATCTAAGGATAGATCAATGTCTTAATCTTTCAAGTCTGTCTCATGTTTTAATTCCAGCTGCCTCAGCTCCTCAGACAGCCACATGATCAGAGCAAAAAAAAGCAAACCCACAAAATATCACCTCTCTTTGTATGCCCAAATATCTTCACTCTTGTGTCCAAACTGCTTGTCCCTTGAAATAGGAAAGAGCTACCTTGAGTTTGGGTAGTGTCTTGCTTTTCCAACTCAAATAAAACCCCTAATAAACTTAACTCTAATGGGACAATCTCCCCAGAAAAATTCAAAAGAACATTTCAGGACACCAGAATCTTCTAATTAAGTTTTATTACAAAGAGAAAAATAGTTATCAATGCAAAAAAACCCCAAGCAAACACACCAATAACAGTATATCCTTTTACTTTGTATTCTATTAAATACAAAGTGGTAAATACCTTTGAAATAAAATAAATAATATGCATTCCAGAGCAAAACTTTCCCTTTTACTCAGCCTGTCAGCAGTTGTAGATTAACCTTTGTGTGTCCTAGAAAATTCTGCCATCTTTGCCAAAAATACTACCACTTCCAGTTTCTTTAATGTCCTTACCTAATCATTCCAGAAAATTTCAAGTGTCTTCTTTGAGTAAATTTCCATATTTCAGAAACACTTGACTCTACTTTAGCTATCTGCTGTCATTTTTTCAAAACAAATGGAAGACAGCCTGTTTACACTCAGTTTTTGAGATTTTGAGGAAGTTTCATATAAAATAGGTATTTCTGCTCATATTTCAGCTATTCCTCTTAAAAGTGTATTAAAAATACTAAAATTGAAACAGATTTCTTTTTGTCACTCAGAGAATGCATTTCTTCTAATCCTCCTCACCATTTACCTCACTAATATTGCTAGTACGCATTCCAGATACCTTATTATTCATAGATTCTCAGCTGAAGGTAACTTGAGAATCTAATCTTCTAGGATGGATGTACAGGAAACACCTGATAGATTGGAACTGTAGATAACATGGATATGTTGCTCTGAAGTTATTTTAAAACACATATTGTGATAATCATTATGAAACAATAATTTTATCTGCAACTGAACAGATGAGTCTCATCTCAAGATATTAGTCTCATTTAAAAAATGCTAAAGAATTGACATATTAAGGCTTATTATTTAAAAAGATATGGTTACTAAATTCCTTACCAGGGCTAAAAAGGACTATAGCTTTAAGGTATGCATATTCATATCCATCAATATCAAGCTTGGCCATGCTGTTACAGAACTCCTGAAGTTTCCAGATGTGTTCCATGACTTGCTTTATTCTGTCGCCAGAAAGTTTATCTACAAAAAGATATTGCTTACTATTTCATCTGAGCTCAAGCATTTCTAATATATTAACAAATAAAGTTTTATAAACCAAGTCAAGTGATATTTGCAAGTCTTTTGCTGTCTTAGAACCACTTAACATGTAAGGATGGTCTGAATTGTCATGAAAGCAAAGTGAATTTATAAAGTTCAGTGAGATCCAGAGCTAGCAAACGGAATGTTAAGAACATTCTAAGAGCAGAATGTTATCCTGTTGCCAGGATAGCATAATCTGCCACACCAAACTTTTTCCAGTGATATACTGTTCTGAGCAGAGATTCTGAAATTACAGTGCATTATTCTACAAATGGCTAGAGTGATTCTGGGAATGAACAGAAGCACAAAGGAAGTGCTAACACGCAACCCTAATTTTAAATTCAAACATTATTGAATAAGCCTTTCCAAAAGTGAATGCAAGAACAATAATGACAGTGCTACTTTCTCCTCTGTCTGTTTTAGGAGTGAACTTTTCATTAGCTATGGTAAATAGTCTTTTTCCTGTCTGATAGGGTAAATTCACTGAAATACACATCCACAGATTCTTCTATCATTTGAAAGATCGCATTCCTTATATTGGGTTCGCAATCTATCTTAAAATTTCAATTTAAAAATGTATTTTATTTATAGATCTGTTACAAGTGAGTGGTATTAGCTGCTAAACTAGGAAGGGAGATATTTCTGTTTTGGTAAATAGAAATCCTTATATTGGACTGCATATCTACAAACTAGTCAAGGAATAAAAACATTAGATAATACCTGAAGACAAACTTTTGAATATATAATTACTATTATCAAACTTCAGAAGTAAATCAGTTTACAAGGGATAAAACCTTTCCTTTAAAAACACATTAGAATTTTATTCCAGTCATAATCTCCAATGCTAGTATTTAATATAATTTTAATTTGAATATTTTATTTTTCTCTATACAGCTAATAGTGCATAGGATTGCTTAGACCCCATGTGGCTTAAACGAAATCTTTGACATAGTTTATTACTATTTGATGTATTTTCTGAAACTGAAATAAGAAGATTGAATTAATGTAAGAGCCATTTTTTGCACAGTCTTGAAATAAGAATGAAAGCATAATCTACATTTCTTAAATCATTAATTGTGATACAAATTTTTAGTTACTGAAGATGGATGAAGATAGACATAATGTAATGTTTTTATTCCTGTATTAAGTGGGAAAATATGGTCCAGAAAAACTCAGGAAAAGCAAACTAGAATTCCAGAGTCTCTAAGTAACTTCATCATTAATAAATAAATGAAGTTCTGAAATTTCTTCACTTTGTTTTGAATTTTGAAGGTATAATACACAATATAACATGATAACTTTGCAGAATAGATAAATAACACTAATGGTCCTCTTTTACTGGCTGGTCTCATCTAACACAGTATGAGTGCAAGTACAGGTTATAGAAAAAAAAATTTTTTTACAATATTGATGCATAATAGAAGTGGAACCAGCTGCAATAGCCCTGCCACTTACTCCTCTCTGCTGCTTGGAACGAAGGTGGAATAGACAGCTCTTTGTATTCTGAAATAGATATAAAGCCTAACTTTGCATAGAACATCCAATATGCAGGTTTTCCTATTGATCTTTTCAACTTTTGCCTCTCTGTGCAGGAAAGGAGCAGCACTCTGTTGTATTTTGGGACTGTCCATACTCTCTTGAGAAAATGAGAAAACAGCCCAAAGCAAAAAAAAAAAAAAAAAACCAACCAACAAAAAAAAAAAAAAAAAAAAAAAAAAACCAAAAAAAACCCAAAAAAAAACTAACCAAAACAAGAAAAAACTCCATATTCATTATGAAAGCAATTAAAGCATACTGTCCATTAAAGAATCAAATTTCAGTCTAATTTACTTTATCATGATGAAGCTAATTAAGTCGATTAAAACTTGATTGTAGAACTATAAAATATACAAAGAAGATAGCTGGAAAAATATTTAATAACCTTCAGCTGTAGAAAAATACATCTGTTTTACTCTCCTCAGTAAAAACCTATTTTCTGATTTCTGCTGTGTGCACAATAATGATACTATAAAAAAGTTATTAAAAAAAGGTACCATAAAACATTGGTACCAAATAGTATTCTATAACTGCTTTTAATGGACATGTAAATTTAAAGTAGTTTTCATTTTTTATGCTGTGTTTGCAGAGTTTAAAACTGCTAGTATTGTTTTCTTCCTCCTTTTAAAAATGAATATTATTTTTATGCTAATCAATCCTTCTGATTGGAAGGGTCTTTAAAGAATAAAAAAAAAGCAAATATAACATATTTTCATCCATTCTAGATATAATCATCATTATCAACAGACCAACATTGAATTAAAAAATAAAATCACATACATCTTGTTAAGAATGTCAAGAAATTAGGTTGCTTAATGCTTCAAGAGCACTTCAAAATACATTAATCATTATTGCATTACAGTAGTATCCAAAACCATTGTACATACAAGAATATGCTTGTTGTGATAATTGGCAAATGCTGTGTTTCTACACCACAAAGAGGAGAAGGAAAGTTCTAGAAGGAAAAAGTCTGGTGTGGTTTCAAAGAGGATCTCATTTTTCTAAGAGGAAAAAACATACATCTGGATGGGAGGAAAACTCTCTGAGCACATCCAAGGAGTATTTTAGGATGTACTGTCTTTCTCGGTAATATCAGTCATGCACAGAAGACCCCCTTGCCTCTATGAACGCTTCTGTCCCACAGACATCTCTGTGAGGCGAGTGCAACAAAACTGTACATCTCCAGGGGAAAAATAATTATGCAAGAGAAAGCTTCACCTTCTCCTGGCTCCTGGTAAACAATTCTGCTACTGATGGGGAAACACCTTGTGAGCAATGTTATCCAAACATCCCTGTATTGTTAGCAGTACTGGTTACATACCTTCTTGTATGCTGTTCTGGAGGTGGTTGACAATCGCTCCCAGGATAGTCGACAGATTCATCACCTGTGCACACTGTGCCAGCCCTAAGGTAAACAGCTCGTTCCAGCAGGCACGCACAAGGCTCGTATTACAGTCCTGCCTATAAACAGCAGAAAATCAAACAATGCTAGGTAGTTTGCATATCAGCTTGGTATTGCCCTATGTATAATTATGTTATGTATAACAATTCATAATAAGGATTAATCTATTGCAAAACTTTTTGGTAACAGGCATATATTAGCATATTACAAGTATTTCAAGAAACAGAAATTATGGACTATGGGAAACCATTTCGGGTTATCTGTGAAATGGTGCTTATCAATTCTTTAGCAAGGTATCAAAAGCAAGCATTTAATTTCTACAAATTAATGCTTGCTTTTGATTTGGCTTTAGTTTCTGTAACCACAGTAACATCGGATATTGCAGTTACCCTCCCCTCTGCCTCTTCTATTTTATTCTTCAAAACAGGGAATACTGCATAGTCTTCACACATTTTAAAATATTAATTAAAAATTAAACAATATTGTAACTGAAAAGTTCAAAATAGCTGGGAAATGTTCAGATCAGTGCTTAAATTCATTCAAAAGCAAACCATTCAAATGGAGTATGTCCATTTACCCAAGAGCTTGAAATGCAGGTATGGACCTAGCCCAGTGCATAGAGAGGAAAAGGAGTCGTGATGCTGACTCACAGATGTAGTGTACATTAAGGTACTCTGGCATCGGACTGGGCATTGTGAGCTGCAAAATATAAAAGTACAGTACAATACATATAGTTCAGACACAAATCAGTTTTTATCATCGGTGAAATAACTAGCAAAAGCATTCAAACTACTCTCATAGTCCATCACAATCAACAGTGCGACAAGAACTTGTCAAAGGAAAATTGTACTAAACAACTCATTACTACTGGCAAGGAATGCAAATTGGGAATACAAGACAAGAAATTATGTAGGAGCTCATACATCTTAAGCATTAGTTTTTTTAATAAGACATTTAAATAAGCACATACCTTAAATGTGACATGTGTATCTGTAAGTAGGGGTCCTTCCACTTCAATAATTGGTGTTGACTGATCTCTACTGATTACATGAATATTCCCTCCTCCTGTAGGATCCATCCCATCTGCCAAGTTATGAGCTGTTGTACCATCTGCAGTATTAAGTGCCTTAGCCAAAGTATCAAATGCCCTAAAAAATAAAAAATTAGTAAACAATGAAAGAGTGCTTCCTTAGATGTTAAAAATTTCATAGTGCTCAAATTAAATGCTGTGAAATATTTCCACTTAGAGGCAACATACACAAGAACTCTTTAGGATGACACAAGGTCAGGCTTTTCATGACAATTTGGTCCCTCCGTACTCTTTGGACATTAGTAAAACAAATATATGTGCCCACCTATTACTGGTAAAAGATCTCCCTGTAAGGGAAGGAGTTCATACTGTAAATCCTGCTGATAGTTTTATCCTAGTATTTGAACTAGTAAAGGGGCCTTATGCTGTGCTGGTTGCAGCTGGGATAGAGTTAATTTTCTTCATTTAAAGAAGCTAGTATGGGGCTACATTTTGGATTTGTACTGAAAACAATGTTGATAATGTAGAGATGTTTTTGTTATGCACAGCAGTGCTTGCACAATGTAAAGGCCTTTTCTGCTTCTTGTCCTCCCTTCAGTGAGGAAGCTGGGCATGCATAAGAAGTTTGGAGGTGACACATGCAGGACAGCTGACCCCAGCCGATACAAGGATTATTCCATACTTTGTGATGTCACACATATAAACGGGGGAGAAAGAGGAAGTGGGGGGATCTTTGGAGTGATAGCATTTGTCTTTGGAAGTAACTGTTACACATGGTGGAGCCCTGCTGTCCTGGAGGTGGCTGAACACCTGCCTGCCCATGGAAGGCAGTGAATGAATTCCTTTACTTTGCTTGTGTGTGTGGCTTTTGCTTCACCTATAAAACTGTCTTTATCTCAAGCCACGAGTTTTCTCACTTCTGCCCTTCTGATTCTATCACCAGTCCCACTGGACTGAGGGAGCAGCTGTGTGAGGCTTAGCTGTCTGCTGGGCATAAATCTCAACAGTCCTCTTGCACTTAGCATTCACTATCCTCCTTCTTACAGATTTGGTGAGGGTTACAGACCAGATGTATTCTGAAGAACAAAGTCCCTGTCCTTGTCCCCATCCTTGATCTCCAGCTTTTTGGAACAGTGGAGAACAGTGTGGTTTTCTTCTAGATAATATGCCTGAATTTCCTTTCCGTTAAGATGAAATATGGGCAGGCACTCCTGATCTCCCACATATACATAGAGCCTTAAAAGTCTTATGACAGTAACACAAGAGAGACTGGTCCCTGGTCTTCTTTATATTCAAGCTGTTACTGGATCATTACCTAAACAGATCACTGTCAATTCTCCCTGGATTAACAGAACTTAAATGTAAAGAAGAATTTTGTATTCCAGTTTTATACCAGTGGACAGTATTACGGTATAGTGCTTCTTTGCCATTTTTTTGTCAAGATTTTTTTGGGGAGAGATATTTTTAGAATTTTTTTTCTGCTTTAAAGAAGGAATAAGAGGCTGACATAAGCTGACATTGCAGTGTTAAGTATTTTAAAATATTAATTCACTCCACTTGAAGAATTCAAAGACTTAACAGCCTTAATTAATGGAAAACAAGATACTGTTCTCTGGGTACAGTATCTTGTTTTTCTCACGTGTGGAACTACCCATTATACTTCCTTTAAATGCAGCCAGCCCAGATGGACATTAATTAATGTCCTTCTCGCTCTCACGCTCTCTCTCTCTCCCCCCAGAGAGGTGTTTTCCAGTCGGTGTAGTGGGCAGACTGTCTGGTATTTCTTTATTGTCAGGGGCTTTTCTGTGTAAATCATTTTTCTTACACCTTTTGTTATTAATGTTGTTGCTGTTATGGTTTCATTTTGCTGTTACTGTTTGTTTGCTAGTCTCATTGCTGTTTCCAGTAAATTGCTCCTATTTCAACCTATGACCTCTGCCTTTTGTGCCTCTGACTGGAGAGGAAGGGGGGAGTAAGTGGCAGCATAGTTTAAGAGTGAACATTAAATTGGAGAATACCATTCTTAAACCACGACAGTTAAGCTCCTCCTAAAAATCATCTTTTTGAGAAACAGTGGACAGTTCTGAGTATTTTGTCTTATTAACCTATACTGCTAAATTCAACCAACCTGCCTCCCTCCCACAAAAAACACAACCAAAAGCATCCAATAAAAAAAAAATCCCAGCCTTGCAAATCTTAAGTTGTGCTGGAAATTTTAATATTCCATGCTCCTTTTTCATATATTTTTCATTAAGAAAAGAAAAATTTCAATCTCTTTCTAAATTTACATTACCGTGAGATGTAGATGCCATTATGGCAGCAAAATCTCAAAAATATATCTGCAGTAATGCAGACTCCTTAAGAGCAGGGCTTAGGGCACAAGCATTGCACAGGAGAAGCTTACATAAAACACACCTGTGAAATAAAATGGCACTGAAATGTTGCTATTCTCAGAGTCTTTCAAGGTCAAAAGCTAGTCATTTATTATGTTTTTGAGAACCAAATCTGGTCTAGCTTTAAAACACTACATTTGTAACACAGGACACAGTTCTTCACAAGAGGGCAAGAGCCAAAACTGATTTCTAAAGAACTGGTATTTTGTTTCAAAGTAGGGGCAATCTGGCAATCTATACTGTGTCTGGTGTAATAATGCCAAATTCCTTTAGTGAATGAGTGCAAGGATACACCACATAGAACACAAATTACTAAATAAGGTGTAAATATAAATGCATACCGTGTAATCTCACTTGCAGATTGCTCTTCTTGTTGAATTTCAGAAGTATCTCCATTATTTAGTGACTCACTGAGATTAGCGAGAGATGTTACAACATTTGCCAGTGTTCCTAAGGCACCCTGGCTTGTTTCAGCCTAAAAAGGAAACACTGTATTAGTAAATCAAATTATAGTTACTATGTCACATATAATTTCCCCCCCATTTTCAATCTTTTTGTTCTTTTCCCCTATGCAACTTTTCCTTCTTCCTGAATGCCAGAAAGAACAATGGCTGTCAATTATCTTTAAATCCTATTCTAATTATCAATCCTAGTCCCAGATGAGACATCCTATTGAGAACTACCTGTGGCTGACCTTTTGCAGAAATATACTTGCCAAAAGAAACCACAATCCTATTGATCAATTTATTACATCCATTCATGTGGTTCTTCACACTTATCACAAACTTATCTTCTGACGAGCAACAACTATTTGAGACTATGTGCAATAGATAAAGTAATCTGAACAAATTTGTAGATATCTCAGAACTGAAGTGAGCAGTAATACCTTGGAATCAGCAGTTAGGAGGACTGTACCATCGTCCCTGATCAAAGGCTGCTGAATATTCACGAGCATTCCCGGATCAAGAAGACCGGCTGACCTGTTCAAAAGCATAAGGCATCTGATGATCAGTAGTATTTTCCATTAATCAGAAGAATGTGTAACAACTTATAAGAGCATAAAAGGAATTACCAGTTTTTAAATAAACAATTTAGTGAAGCTTACAGTTAATTTAACAGGACTTAAATCTTTCTGAAACAGTTCCCAAAAAGTAGCTTGAAAGACAGAAAGACTGAAAGATCTTATAATTTCCAGTGCAAAACAATGACAACATCCCAAATGTGTATCTTCTCATTTGCTTTTTATTCTCGTTTAGTCTGCTTTAAGGAAAGCTGTTGTCGTCTCACGTTCTCAGAAGTCACCTAGTAGCTCTAGTTTTTATATTAGACTTTGGAGGAAGGCATAGCTCTGTATTCCAAGCAAGACACTGGCCAGCACTGACTAAAAGTCATAAAAATATTTTTTGCATTCCAAAATATAGTCATAAACAGTCATGTAATCAAAGCCTGCATAAAATTTCTGCTGCCTTTACTTTTGCTGCTTTTTGACCAAACATCCTTCCCCTCTCCTGTATCTAATTCAGGGAGACAGTGGAAAGTCTTTGCAGTCAGCAAGAAGTTTACTTGCTACTTAGGTGATGCTCCAAGTGTCCGTAACACGATACCAATGCACACAACACAGGTGCAAGGCTGCAGGACATTACAGTACAAGGGGTCTGACACTAACAGCTATCATTGTGAACAAGCACAGGCAGCAAATTATCATGTATTAGGCAAATCTGAATCCTACATAAATAACAGAGTGGTTCTTACTGAGTATAGTAGTGTTTATAGGTCTGTAATGGATCTGCAGCTCAAGGAAATTTTTAAGAAGCAAATGTTTCTGTGAGTACTTCTTTCAAGCAAGAACACTGAAAAACAGTTCTCCAAGAAACCTGCAGCCCAAACTTCCTAACTGCAGTGTCATTTGTTCAATAAGGAATATGTATATGAAAAATTAAACACACACACTTCCTCCCATATGAAAACTGAAGAATAAAATAAAATTTTTACGTAGTTGTCAACCATTCATAAACTACAGTTTTTAAAATGTCATATTTAACCTAGACTTTTTTTAGTCTATTCAGAAAAAAAAGAAATCTTGCCTTTGTTTGTAATGATGTTCATTTTCACAACCATTGCCTAAGGAGACATCTGAGAATGCAGGAACTGCCGTGGCGGCAGGGTACAGGAACCACCTTGGAGTATCTTCCATATAGTAAAAGGAAACTACTGTTTTACTGTTGTTGAAACCAGTCTCTTGGGATGTGAATCAGCAGCCACTGAGTCTCCCTAACTATTGCCTTTAGCAGAAGGAAGCCTGATTGTGCCATTTGCAGATGTGATTTCAGAGAAGTGCTAACTCAAATATATCACAGCATTAGCCTACATGCTTTCTGCTTGAGTATCATTCACTTGCTCTGCATTGCTCTGACCTGGACAAGAGCCAGCTCTGAACTGAAAACCACATACCTGTATCAGAGCACAGGCAACCCCCGACGAAGGGGAGAGAAAATGATGCATCTGACTCCCTCATCAGAAGGCTAAATAATTACTTTATTATGCTATACGATATATATTGCATCTAAACTGAATCTGCCTTGCACTCACCCTTGCTCACAATTGCACAGAACTGCACTCATCCCTCAACCCTCTCGTGACTGTCTGGTGACAGTCCAACACACACATACTTCTTGGCCCTGATAGGCCAAGGGAACAAAACATCCTCACTCTGGATAAACAATCTCCATTTTGCATTCCACCTTAGTACAACACAGGCACAGCAAGAGAGATAAGAATTATGTTTTCCTTCTTCTCTGCTTGTCTCACAACTTCTTTCTGTTCAGAGGGCATGTGAATACCACATACCTGTATGCAGACATAATACTTTCATGAGAAGCAGAACCTACATTGGCCTTAGTAATGGAAACAGATGATGTGTGCGTTAGAGTTCTTTTCTGTTCCCTCTGAGAGCACAGGGGAGAAAGAATATAGATGTGACTGCAAAGTAATATGCACAAATAACGTGAAAGAAGATGCATGGAACTGAGGTACTCACCGTGTCCCATCTTTATCTGCCACAAATGTTGGAGTTGCTATTAGAGGGCTTCGAAGATCTTTTCTTATATAGATTTTTTCAGTAGAGGCTGCACAGTTGGTTGGTTTTTCACGTTGCACATCAAAAGGCTTTCTTTCACTTTGAACCGCTACATAAAGATAGAAACATACAGATTTGAAAGGAAATAATTCAAACAAAAAATACAAAAAGTAAATAAAATTCCTGCACTTATGATAGTGTACCAGCTCAGTTCAAAACTGGAAATTCAATACCAAGAGTGAAGAAACACAGGCTGCAGTGTTACTATATCTGTGAGTATGTGTATTTTTATATATACTTTTAACTAAGAAAGTCACAGATTGATCTTTTGCTTCAAGTTTTGCTGATCTGGAATAAAATATTGCTCTTTTTTCTGCATTTGATAAGATGAAAGATTCTACAGACTGTGTTTTCAATTTGTTTATATATTTTTTTATGGGCACAGCTATATCTAAATGCTAGGCACATTCCTATTCTGGATAACAAAAAACAATGCGAACCCTGAAAGGAACCCTGAAAAAGTCAAGAGAGGCAAGTTACCTAAGAGATGCAGGTTAATTCCTTGAGAGGATACTCTGCATGACATACACTTCACTCACAGCCATTAATTCCTCCCAGTTAGGGAAGAGTGTTCCAAAACTAACCCATTTATAATCTACATTTATACCTGAGAATTTAAGCAAACTAAGTTCAGTCACTGAAGTGCGAACAAGTGCAGCAAATTTTTTAATCAAAAAAGCAAGAAGCAGTTACTTTTAGACTTTTAAAGAAAATCAAAAGTGCATCTTTATATTATTAAAATACTATTATTAAACATATTACAGAACGTTATCCTCGTAACCAGCAAGAGTTAGTTCCTGATTTTATTTTTGCTATTGTTGTTATTATTAGCAAAATTTAGGGGCTTCAAAGTTGGCATATCAAATTTATTGGCTTAGTGAACACATATAAATTAATCAGAAGCCTGACCCAAAGCCAGTGAAGTCAATAAACATACACCCTAATCATATTGGAATAAGAAAGGTTTACTTTCTGGAACTGCAGCAGTTTTTCTTGTACAAATGTCTCATATTCAGCACATTGCGTGCAAAGCAACAGAATCATCACAACAGGTCAGGGGTTTCAGAGTGCAAATATAACAATTATGTTCCTATTTACAGCTTAAAGTTCTGCCTCCCTTGAACTCAGTGGCTGGAACTTACCCTGCTCAGATCAGATCACAAAACAACCTTGTAATTGTTTCACATAGTGCTAAATTGAAGAACACGTGATATAAACTGAAAACAAAAATATATTGAAACAAGTGTTTGGCTGCTAGCACTGGAAATGTATGAGGTACTACATACAAACATGAAAGCATATTTTAAAACATATGACAGTTTATACAATGCCTCATAAAACACTGCTCACAAATTTTCAAGTTAACATAAAAATTTAAAAAGAGGGGGAAAAAAAGACTATTTTCTATCACTGGCTGAAAAAGTCGCAAAAATAAACTGGAAGGAAAGCAGATTCTCAAAACAGAGTATTAGACTCAGATTCATGTCAATCCATGTAAAAAAATTTTCTGTTATAAACATACACTGTGTTTGGAACATGCATTGTAAGTGAGGCTGTAACTGGGCTCCTCAAAGACAACAGCACTTGGAGACATAGTTCAAAACAAACCACTACTGCACCTCAGATATAAAATGGTGATGAAAGAAAGGTGTGCTAGATGCTGCCAAAACGTTCTATTTCCTTCAAGCAACATGTACCAAAACAGAGAGAACGCACTAACAAGTGGTAGTCCACATAATTGTTATTTGGTAGGCACAATATCACAATGAGTACTTAACACTCACATTCCATTTTCATGCCCATCTCTAGACATTTCTTAAGCCTACAAAACTGGCATCGATTCCGATGGTGTTTATTGATGATACAGTCCTGGTTGCTACGACAACTGTAGGTCAAATTCTTCCTTACACTCCTTTTAAAGAAACCTTTGCATCCCTCACAACTGACAGCACCATAATGACGACCTAGGAAACATATATATTATCAGGTGGGAATTACTTATATTTTAGCATAGAAATATACATTTTAACCAAGTAAAACACTGTAAGTCACCCTTTAAATTTCTTTTGAATTTGTGCCAGCATTTTGGACCATGAAAGCATTACTACGGTCTCACAAGATATTTTTGATTTACCTATTGTCAGGGGTTTTGATGAGAGAGTGGAGAGAAGAGAGGAAGGCTCAGGCTATTTCTGGATGTGCAGTTGATGAATGTGTAGTTCCCACTCTGAGTAAGTACAGATACAATTCTATCTGCGGTTACAGACTATAGGATACATTTAGAGAATCTATCAGCTAAGAGCTCTAGTAATTTCAGAAAACAAGTAATTTTACACCAAAATTTAAAATGCAATCTTAATTTAAGTTTCCTGTCCATATTAATTCTGGTATTGTCTTAATTTCATAAACACTTAAAGAAGTTAAAGAAAGTGAGAAAAAGAGACAGAAGGGTGTCCTCTCTGGGATGAAAGCACAGAACACCCCCTTGACTAATATAAAAATTTTATCTTAAGATTCCTTGTTACTGCATGGATCTGAAGCACTGAGGATTCACGTAATCTCTGCTTGCCTTGTTTTGTGATAGTAGAAGAACAAAATCTACCAGGATTAAGATTGTTAGAGAGCACTAAGAAGCATTTTCTTGGGGTAGACAATTTTAGGTGACATGTTTATTTCATGGTTGCACGTCACTGTGGGGAACTTGACTACGTGCTTCAAGCAGTCATTCTCAATTATGAGGAGCAATTTAATCATTATTTTGTCTTTAAGCCAATTTATCATATGCTTTAGTTCAAGGAGAAAACCTAATATTCTTCCAAGCAGAGTTTAGCTATTTTTTGTGTATAGATACAGAGTACATTTTTCCATTTAAAAACTCAATTGCTATTCCATGATTATAACTAAAATCAGTTAAAGCACATGAAAAATCATATCTTCATCCCAGTCATCCTTTCAAGCAAGTTTCTTCAATACCACTTTGTAGGTTCCTTACCTGATGCTTTATCACCACAGACTACACAATATTCTACTACCTGGGGCCGCTGAACATCAGTTTTTCCTAGCAGGCGTTCCACTGAAGCAGAGTCTGTCACTATCTAAAGCAAAATTCAGGAACAAAAAGATGTAATTAGCCAGATATAAAGGCAAGGAGTCTTGCCTATAGAACAAGATTGGTGTATCAGCTATGAGGGGACAATTTATGAATAAGTATGGCATGTGAAATGAAATTAAGTAGTATAAAATGCAATTTTATGAGAGTTCTTACTGATAATAGAGAGACTTTTGAAACAGTCATATCAAAACAAATTGCAAATAAAACTGCTAGCTTTGTTTATTACAAATGTTTCCTCACTTGTGCAATCAAGAGTATTTTTCCCTTCTTGCAAATACTCTCAAGCAGCTGCTATATTTTAGCCAAAGACAGTTGGCTTTCAGATGCTGTTCCCATCTATCTCTTCTCTAGCTATGAGGGATGTGTGGTTCAGAGGGGATAGCCTGGAGCTCAGATCTACCATACAAAACACTTTAGCTTCCAAAGGCCTTGGATTCCAAAACTTCTGCTCTGAAGTTTCATTTAACCAAGAAAAATTTAAAAACCCAATCCCTCTGTAATGTCAGATATTCTATTTAGCATGGAAAAATGAATTTTAGAATACTTTGAATAACATTTAAAAAATATTTATGTAAAAGTTACTCCTCTTCCTGCAAAATATTCTCCATTGTAACAGTAATAAGAGAGACCAGGCACTTTCTCATTTGTTTTATTCTTTTTTTTAAGACTGCTAGGAAGAAACCTGAAATTTCATGAGAAGCTTTGCAAAGCTTCTGTTCATGTAGATTATGCTCAAGACCCACAAAAAACATAACAGAGCTTTATTGCAATGTCTGAATGTAAAGTACTAATGCAAAGTGTCTGCAATACTGAATGTAAAGTACGAACTCATATAAATTTGCTCAGGTGAGTTGTATCTCTGTATCAGTGAATCTTACACTGAGAAATCCTGGCACTTCTCACAAGCACTGTCTTAAGGATTTCCTTATGTCTTTGTAACCTGAATGAGAACACACAACGAGGGACGATGAGTGCAATGGAATACATGAGGTAGGTGAAGACTGAAGGATTTATGATTGAACAATGAAGCTTAAAATTATTATGTCTGATCCATGTCATGAGAGAACTACTGCAATTGGTCTTAAAGCAATTCAGACTTAATTTAGAAACAAAAAAAAAAAAACACCAAAAAAACCCAAAAAACAAACAAAACCAAAATTCCATGATTTACCTAAATTACTGTACTTACCTGAATTCTGCCTGGCACAATGTTGTCTGTGGTGGTAAAGATAAGCTGCTTGGCATTAGATGTCTCAGGTGCTGCCAAGATCACCTTTCCTGCACCAGTTCCATCTGGACTAGCTAAAATGAACTGTTGCTTTGGAGACACAGCTGAATCCACTGCTGTCACTATTTGAATTTTCTGACCTGTTTGCTGATCTGTCACAATCTGTAAAACATTGAAGAAATTAGTCACCACAGTAAATATTATGTTTTAAAATCTTTCATTCCATCTCAGAATTATATCAGTGAAAAATTATGAAGAAGCTCTCTCAAATTTTTCTTTATAAATGGCACTAAGGAGATGTTCCCCAGTTAACATTTACCAATGCATTTTCTACCTACGTATTTTACATAAGATGTTACTCCCTAAAGTTATCAACAAAAGATGGAATCAGGCAGCCTTATTGTTTCACACACTGATTATCAAGATTCTGTTATGATGGAAGGTTTCTATTTCTGATGCAGTTGTCTGGTAGCATGATCTCTATTTTGCCTGGTAGAATAACCGTATCAACATGCACTAGTATTTCATTAAAATTTAGTAAGTCCTATATAATTTGCCATTGAATACATTCTGATACATTCATGACATTTTTATTATTTACCAGTAACCAAGTCCCACTGTGCAGCATTCTCGAAGGCCAACTTTGTGCTAAATATATTAATCTCCTACTGGCTCCTAAATAAGTGGGAAGAGGAATGCACTTGGAGATGATCTCAGATTTCTGTTGACAATATCTCACCCTTTGTTATGGCCAGGGCTCAGGAGATCTGCTTGTGTATGCAAGGTTTAATCTGTGTTAATACTCTTCACTGGCTAACTATTATATACAGACATCTAGTCAGGACCATTACTGAGGGAAAAAGAATTTTAGTTTTCACTAAAAAATTATCTGATCTCACAAGACTTAAAGGAAGTATTCTATAGTCTTTAGCATGCTTTTGTATAAAGCTCAGCAGGAGGAGAAGAAAAAAAGAAAATATATAATAGTTGGTTAATTAATGGATTTTTACCTGAATGCGTTGTGGTGAAGCTACAGAGGAGTCTGTGGAAATTATCTGGATACGCTGGGAAGGGCTGGTCATCACTGGAGATTCAGATAGCGAAGTCTGAACAGTCGGCACCTGTAAATAACATACAGAATTTTAATTCAGTGTTAAGGTATTGAACCATTTAAAAATACCTATATTTATAAAAGATCAGGTAGCCCTATAGTTTAGAATCTATATTTACTGGAAAGGTTACAGTCATTTAACCAACTTGGATTGGCTTTCAATGAATTATCAGAATATTTTATTTTTCTGGAAATTGAGTGAACCTGACAAAACCAAACCACAACTACCACCACCACTCTGCTCAAATGAATCACTGGATAGGTACAGTATGATCCTTTAGCTTCCTGAAATGCAGAAATACTTTTTTCAACTTTCGATTATACAATTACCTCATTTTTTTCTTCTGTAAGTAAAATGTGAAGTAGTTCCCCTTTTAATAATTTCAAAGTACTTTTGAATGACAGAGATTAACTTTAACACTGCTTCTGAATACTACTGTTTATTGTCCTATTCCATAACTTTCCAGACTACCAAACTATAATGCAAATTTAGTTCTGAATACTTAGCCTGAAAAACACCCCTTGCAAAGCTGTTTTCAGAGCAAAAATGTTAAATACGGAATTAAACATAGGTGGTAACATTTAGATTGGATATTGGGAAGAATTTCTTCCCTGGGAGGATGGTGAGGCCCTGGTACAGGGTGCCCAGAGAAGCTGTGGCTGCCCCTGATCCCTGCAAGTGTCCAAGACTGGACGGGACAGGGCTTGGAGCATCCTGGGATAGTGGAAGTCCAACTCCCCTGTGGCAGGGAGTTGGACTAGACAATCCTGAAGGTCTCATCCAACCCAAACCATTCTATGAACCTGTTATCTGCAGTAACGTATCCAAAATCAGGATGGTCACAAGTTGTTTTTATCAAATCCTCTGCTAAACAATCTTGGAATTGTATCAAAATGTTTATGGCTGGAAAACAGTGCAGTTTCAATTTTAGCTTGCTTTGAAAAATCTTTGTTTAATATACAGAAAAGTTAATTCACGACATCAAGAAAAAACAGTTCGGATAGCAAGGAACACGGACTACAGTCTCTTTGGGGAAGCAGAGGTATTAAAATACACAAGACTTAATGAAAACATACAATTTACTCCCCTATTGCCTGAACGATAAATAGTTCCACATACTGTAAAAGTGTAATCTAAATTAAACATACAATCTCCAATTATCTTTAATACACAGGTCACAAAAGTTGCACACTAAATGAGGAAAACAGACAGGAGAGATGTAGAAATAAGAGGCATCTTCTAATTATTGGATGATTCAAAGGTTTCAGCTGCAGAAAATAAGACACCTAGGTGAGAAAAAAGACTCCCAAAAATCTAGACTTTTAGAAGACACATTTAATGGATGATCTTCTTGCCTTCCATGCCAAATTATTAACAAAGCTATGTGCCCTTTAAAAGATCTAAATTAGAGCAAGAAGGTCTTTTAAAATTGTTTTACAGTTGTTCAGTTGTAGAATCCTTAGCCTTTCATTGATGCACCTTCAAACCTTCAAACAATGTACTGCAGACATCTTGGAAAAAAAGGAATAGAACAATTCTTCTATTTTGTTCAAAGCGAAAGACAGACAGACACATAGAAAGGTACCTGCACGGAAATTCTTTAAACATTTTGGAACTGAACACCGATGTTGTTTTCTGGGTTTGCAAAGCATGTTTAACCTGAACCCCATGTGGCACAATTTTGTCCCCCACCTGACTCCACCCTCCTGTCAGGGAGTTGTAGAGATTGAAAAGGTCCCTCCTGAGCCTTCTTTTCTCCAGGCCTAACAAACCCAGCTCCCTCAGCCACTCCTCAATGACTGACTCTTCAGACCCTTTTCCAGCTCCTTTGCTCTTTTCTGGAGACACTTCAGCCCCTCAATGTCTTTCTTGCCCTGCAGAGCCCAGAACTGACCCCAGGATCGGAGGTGTGGCATCACCAGTGGCCAGTACTGAGCAACAGTCACTACACTGGTCCTGCTGGCCATGCTGTTCTTGATCCAGGATGCCAGGATGCCATTGGCCTTCTTGTGTGACCTGGGCACACCCAAATCACATTCAGTCACTGTCGACCAGCACCTGCAGGTCCTTTCCTGTTGAGTGGCTTTCCAACCATCCTGCCCAAAGCCTGGAGTGCTGTGTAGGTTGTGGTGACCCAACAGCAGGACCCGTGGCCTTGTTGAACTTCACATTGTTGGCCTTGGCCTCAATCCCCTCATCCAGGTCATCCATAAAGATATTAAAGAGAACTGGACCCAAAACAACCCTGAGGAACCCCACTAGTGACTGAATAGTGGATGTGGCACCACTCCCCAGTCCCAGTGACCCAGCCAGTTCTTAACCCCACAAACGTGCATCTGTCCAAGTCATGCGCCACAGCCCTTCTGGGACAGTGCTGGGAGAGCGTATCAAAGGCTTTGCTGAAATACAGGTAGGCACATCCACAGCCTTTACTTCATCCATGAGGTGGGACACCTCATGATAAAACAAGACCAGCTTGGTCAGGCAGGACCTGCCTTTCCTAAACCCACACTAGCTGGGCCTGATCCCCGGGTCCTGTGTGCCATGTGATCTCACTCAGGAAAATTAATTTAAAATTAGCAAAATTGAAAGGAAAATCCATCAGATTTCCTGTAGAGCATCTTTAGCTTTAAAAACTCATTCCACAACAAAACATTTTAATGAGGCTGCAGTGAAAGCTGAGAAACGGATGAAAACAGAAAATATTTTTAAGATTTTCCAAAGTTAAATTTGTTAAAGTTATGGTACATGAAGCTTTGAGAAAGTGACCATGTACTTGACAGATTTTACAACAATAAACTTATTAACAACAATAAACAACAAAATCCAGTGAACTTCCACTACAAAAGCTTCTGCAGCAAATTAATAACTTAGTTGTCTAAGTAGCATTAGTATTTTCTTCCAATTTCAACGACTCCATAGCACAGAAATATGCTCACTATTGAAATTAAGCACTTACTTGACAGAAAGCACAATCATCTATTGTACATCTCTCTAAAAATAGTGTATGCATATGTAATTACCTAAGGGAGTGTATTTACAGTAGGGGTACACTGTAAATGTTAGGTCAACTGACTGTGCTCTAGTGCAGAAGAAAGTATTACTGGTATCTAGAATATACTTGCTTGGGCTCTCAAATCAGTAAGTACCACTAGCAATAATTTCATATGCTGAAGTTTATAGAAATTAATAATGATTTGCCTTAAGTGACATAGAAAATCTGCACAAAGCTCAAGAAATACAAAAATACACTTAAACACATATGCATCTACCTTTTTCATCATTAAGCTAAAAACAAGTATTTGGCAATTAGGTGCATTTTGAAGGCTGGCAAAATTAAATTTGTTTTCTTCTGTTTAAATTATTAATAATTTTCCCCTTTTTAAATATAAATATATATAATTGTGTATTTATTTTTTTCTACTTTTTTTTCAGTTTCTAAATTTTAGTTGAAATCATGTTAAACTTCCAGTAGATGGGTGTGTATATATAAAATATATATACGTATATATAAAATCAGTAGTTTGAAGCTAAGTTTCCCCAAGCATTTCATTATTTTATGTCATTAGAAATAAGTAAGGTTTCTTCATAGGCATACAGTCGTGTTTATACAGTAATTTACTGATTTGCCCATCATGTACATAGGCATCTAGGTATGTTTGTATGAGCATATGTACATATATAATACATATTTGTCCTGACTAACCAAATTTTCAATACTTTCTGTAGCTTATTTCCCCCTACCACACTGATTATAAAAGCAGTATTTGAGAAATAAATTGAGGGACTAATCCATTGGCCAATTGAGAGAAATTTTTAAAGCCTCTAATCTTTTCTAACTTAAGCAGAAAAACATTTTCTATATTTTCTCCAGTAAAAGCCACAGTAATTGTATTGCTTGAATATATTATGTGCAAACCAATTTCAGAGACAATAATTTCTATTCTCTTTCTTATATTAATTAAAGCATAATTAAGCAATCACAGACCAAATATTTTTAACGGCACCCATAAAACAACTGAAGAATTTAAATGAAAAATATGGTACCAAGTTTTATACCTGCAACTCAAATCAAATCAGAAAGACCTATTTTTCCATAGATATTTTTCCTAATGAGTATCTTTACCTATTAAATTAATAATAGGCTTTTACTAAAAATGTATATCCAAATATGTTTCTTTCACAGGTGTAAGACACATCTAAAAAAAGTGTCAGTTATTCTCCTTGGAATTAGTTTTCCTGACCTCTGCCAAGTGGTCCTTTGTAGGATGGCTGAGACAGGTCAAATCCACCACTAGAAGAACTCTAGTTTAACTGCCCTAATAGGATGCCAGTGCAAGATCTTGCATAGCACATAAAAAAGCAACAATCACGGAAGAAACTGCAAGTGGCACATCTGCATGATAAAGAAAATCTCAGACCAGCTCTTATGGAACACCCCACACTTCTATTACACCAGCAGCTATGCCACGTCTGACAACACTCCTCAGTTCAAATACTGCCAAACTGCCCAAACCAGATACGGTCTCCTTACTCCCATCTGCACTTTCTGTGAGATACCGCTCAGGCTCATGGTATGTCTAGGTCTTTTACCATTAACAGGAACTTGAGAAAAGCTGTATTTGAAGCAAAAATTGTTTAAGAAGACTTCGCATCAAAACTCCACTTTGAAAAATCATCAGAAATGAGCAAGTGGCCAGTGATAGCAATAAAATATTAAATATAAAGGGTCTTACGTCACACTTCATTAATTCTAAACAAAGTAAAAACTTGTTCCATCAGAACAACAGTGTTTCCATTCTCCTTTTCCAGCACACTGTCTTCATCTGGACCAAAACCCAAACTGCAGAACTACTTAGGATGCAACATGTCAGAGATGTCTGAAGAGGGTCAAGAAAACATTTTATGTGACAAAGATATCCAATATTTTTTGAGCTCCATGGGAAAACATGCTTTCCAAAAGGCTCCAGACTTTGACAGTTTCCTATCAGGACACTGAGGGAACTGAAAGCAACTGAAAATTCTCCAGCAATGCAGCTGTCATAAACAAGATCCAGGAAGAACAGGGCTCAACAGTCACCTCATGTGACTCGCTCCCTGTAGCCTCTGACAGGAAAAAGGATGCACCGGGAATAGTTTCTGGCTGCCAGAGAGCTGGCCAAGGACAGTTTTAGCAACTACTAAAAATTATTCCTGGTTACACCAGAGCTGCTGTTGGAAAGATGAAATAGCCCTTATTTCCACCACCAAACATTCCCTCCCCTTCCTCCTCCCTCCCGCCCACGACAGCTCTGTTTAAATTTTTTTTTTTAATTTTGCAGTAAAATCACAGGTACTACACAGGGAATGCACCTCCACTTTAAAAACAAACACATTTTTCTTAAACAGTATTCAAGTCAGATCTAAGTTGATGCTGGGACTGCACCTAGGCCACTTGCATATTGCACAGTGACAGCACTAAATATATACTTCAGAAAAGCAGCATTATTTATTTTTTCATTAAGGCTTACGTATTTTTGCTGCTTTTCAAGAACTACTGAGGATAAGGAGAAACTGCTGAAATTCCCTCCGAATCCCCTAGCTGCTCTCTGTTCTTCAGTTTCATGAACTGTAAGTAATGGCAACTTCAAACACTCAAAACAGAATTCTCCTCCAATCTGTTCAGAAATGCACAATTGGAAAAAAAATTAAACAAGCGACACTATATAAAGCAGAAGCAAGCAAAAGCAGTGAAACCATCTGAAACCATTAAAAGAACAATTTTTAAAAGTCCTAAAAAGAGAATAAGTACAAAAATACATGCAACACTGGAGCACACTCAGCAACTTCTGTGAAACGTTCTGTTTCATGAAAAAACTGAAGAACTATTGCTCAAGAAAGAGAAACAATGTAGCCTACTTGCACGACAGTCTGATTTGGTGCTTGGCACCGCAGTTCTCAATAAACCCATGCACTACATATGTGGCAGTTATGTTGCAAAAGTGATGCATTAGGTTATCCAGTTGCAACTTCTCTCTCACAGTTCATAACCTGAAATTCAGTGCATTGTCAATGACTCTCTTCTTCCATTTAATTTTTATAGATAAAAAATATGACTTTCAAAAAGTCTGTCATTTTTAAAAGCCAGTGCCAAGTTTGATTCTACGTTTTCTCTAAGATATGGTGAGTACAAATATAGAATTTTAGCATATTTAAAGAAAACTCATTATGTATTTACCTGTATTAAAAACTATCTGACAGAAGACACAAATAGTAGGTAGCCAGCCATTCATAAAGAAATGATTCAATATTAACATGGTCATAGTATTACTGAATTCCTAACGAGATAATGCTGCTTACAACTGGTTTTCCATGAACAAAGTTTTCATGGTGTTACGCAGTGGACAGGCATATCATTTAAGCAGCAGCTGAATACTATAAAGAGATGAAGCCCTCTATTTACCCACCGGCCAGGAAGAAATCACAGAGCTTCATACACTCTTGAGATGGAGCGATCTCTCCAGTGGCAAGATACAACCATCACACTATGTTACCACGGTGCATTTCCTGCACGAGGAATTACAAATGTCATATATTTTATGTGCTTTAGAAGTTATTACAGCACCCAACCTCTACCAAAATACTACAAAGTTTGTCAGTATTTCCATTACAGGTTTCTCTTTCCGAATATATTTGTAATTGTTTTTTAAAAATGCAGCTTGCCAAATTCATACCCGGTACAGAAAACTAGAGTGAAAAATCTCTTGTTGGTTTTCACTGTGAAACTTATGAAGTTTTTTGAAACTATTCCATAGATGTTAATTCCAGGACACTCACTAGGCCATTTTCCATGCTAAAAAGAATGAAATTTCTTTTTTAAAAATGTACTCCTAAGTAGGGAATCTCAAGTCCACTTCTAAAAACAGAACTAAACCTATATTTTCTTCTTATCCCTTAATTATGTAACCATATGAAAAATCACAGTAAACTTCGAGGATACTAAACCAAATAATTTTAATCAGACAAAAGATCCAGTTTATTTTTTGACTGAAGTTTGCATAGTGAAGGAGATAAATTATTTTCTATGGCCATGAACACTTGCAGTTTGTGTTTATGAGTTGATTTAAACTTTTTAGCTGTTGAGCATCCAAGCTTCAGTGAATATGCATCAAGATATCACTTAATATAATTTTAAGTAGGTTTTGCGCTTTTTTTCTTTTAAGCATAGGCACAAAATATAAAAACTGATTTAAGTTAACCACCCTGCTGTAAATTCAGTACAGCGCATAAGTAAAACAGGTAACTTCCAACACGGTGGTGGAGCTCGATTACAATTCCAATTAGGTGCAGAAGCTTTCCATGTCCCAAATGGTCCATCTAATGATCAAATGACAAGATATTTTGTTGTATTAAGTTTTTAAACAATTCATAATACAGCCAAGTTTCTCTATAACTCATGTTGAACTTTCTACTTGCGTTCTTAATATGGGGACCACCAGAACGAAGCAGGGTGAACAAAACATGTCCCAGTTGCACTGGTTTCCTGCTTGTCCCCACGTGTAAAGCAGCACTTTTATTTAAAGATCTTCTGTTCCATTTATGCTTAATTGTAAACAGCAGGGACTCCCTAATAAGTTTTTAACTTCAAAATCTCATATACCAACTGTTGTGATATCATCTGTCACTCACCTCAGCCACCTGCTGAGTCTCCACTACCTGCTGAGCCAGCACCTCCATATTGGTTGCCATGGTGAGACAAGACCATTAGAGAACCTGTTCGGAAAGATGCCAGCAACTTCCATCAGGCACAAAAGTTTGGGTTTTTTCTTAATATTAAAGAAAGCTCTGCTACGAATTTTTGAAAATTTACAATTCTGCTTGAAATATCTGGCAAATAAGAGAAGGTGCCATTGACGTGTGTGTGTGCACACATACATATATACATATATGGGACAAGCATACTGGAACCATGCTGATCAAATTGCTGAGGTACAGTTATTCTTTTACTTTATTAAGCCTCTAATATACTCTTTCCAGTCTGTTATTTAAGCTGTAAAGAAGAGATGTTAATTTCATAAATGAGAAAGGACTACTTTTAAAGTCAAGTACTAATGCAGTTTGTGGAATTCATAGATCTCAAAGGCACTTTCCTCAGCTCAGGCAGGAGAAACCCTGCCATTAAACTGCTTCTACACCACATGCTAAACCAGGGAGCAGCAAGCTAAGAATGCTGTTTGGCATAAATTTTCATTGAGTCGTTCCGTCAAACCACCACGTTCATCCATATTCTTAACAGTAATCTTACCCAATAAGGGAAATAAACAGTTACATCTAAAATGTATCTTCCATTATTTAAACTATTTTTTATTATAATGTGATACTGCTATCACAATGAGAAGAAAATACTGCAGAACCATTTCATCCTATTCCAAGTAACTCCACCTTCAACCTTAGGGGTTAAAAAAAATACAAAGAAATCAAAGACAAAGAAACTATAAAAAACCACTTCCAATGTATTTTTCATTATCATTATTAGGGGTGTATTTCTTCCAAGGTAAATTTAATTAAGATTTCCAATTAATGCATTCATTTTTTAATTGTGACTTGCTAATTACAGGGGTAGACTTCAGATTCTGATTTGTTGTTGTAGGGAATAAAAAAGCATTCCTGAATGCTGGCTTGTTTGATGTTTCACTAGAAACCTCTGCTTAAAATTGCAAAGCCATCTGCAATTAAGTCATTTAATATAAAATTTAAAAATACAGCAAACAGTAGCAACACAGGTAACAGAAAAATGTATGCATGTCTCTATCACCCATTCAAATGTAACTTCTACAAAGCTAAAATTGTTAAATATGTCAAAATTCAGTAAATTAACTTATATTCACTTATATTGCGACATATGTGAAAGCAATTTTTTGTATGTCAAGTAAAGATTATTTGTAACAATGCATAATCATACTTGAGACATCCCCGTGGAAATTGTATTTATGCTGGTTTCTCCTACAGCTTGTCATTATTTTATTGAAGTATTGCACTTGATTATGACTATGAACCATTTCCACCAAACTCAGCTTATGGATGGTTTCTCAGTTGTTCAATGGTTCCTTTTCAGTGTTTCCTCTTATTTTTTTTATATTCAGCAAGAAGCACAAGAAACATAATCATATGCTCTTAATATGCTGTTTCCTCAGTGCTTCATGATGACAGAAGCCCTTCAGATTAGATCTTGCTCATAACAGTACCTTTCTGAGACACAAAACACTAGTGTTTTCTGCAGAATGAGTCCGAGAGATTTGCCGTTGTTGGTGTTATCACCAAGGCTTTTTGTACTTTTGACCTTCACAAAAAAACCTTACGCTGAGGCTATCTGATCAAATCCAGCTGAAGCACAGAGACCATATACTGCCAAGCCAAGCTTCTTAATGGTGTCAACTCCCAGGAGGCAAAATCAGCTTCCTAGCAAAAGCCCTGAGCAACGGTTTGTAAGGCAACACAACAAAACCCCCCAAACCAACACAAGAAGTGAAATTTAAAAGCCAGGAAGAGCCACCTGGAACACCAGGAAATTATTTTCAGCATAACAGGGTGGCAGCCAGCTCATTATACGCTGTCCAAAACACAGTGTAGAATCACTAATCTTTCCCTAAGCTGCAGTGAAACCTCAGAGACAAGTCATAAATTCCACTTGAGAGGTTCTAAAGGTATGGCGCTACTGACAAGACATGGTAAAAGGCCGAATTCAAACGTATTGAAATTTGTTCCTTTGTCTTAATGAAACGAGGTTCTTTACGCTGTGAGCTCGACTCGGCTACACCGAGCGGCCTCCAGCAGGCTGCCATCGGCGGGACGGGCGGGGAGCGGGTCCGCCCTGCCGGCAGTCTCCGGTACGCTGTCCCGGCGGCAGGAGCCCGCCCACACCCGGGCACCGCCGACCGAGCCGGAGCACCGCGAGCCGCGCCAGCAGCGCCGCGACACCGCCCAGGCCGCGCCGGGCCTGCCGCGCCCCCATTGGCCGCGCCGCGCGCGCCGCCCGCCCTCATTGGCTGCGCCACGCTCCGTCCGCTGCTGAAGGGCCTTCGACAGCTCCCCGCCGCGCGCCGCCGAGCCACGCCTCCGGCCCGCCCCCAGGCCCGACCAATGACCTCACGACAGGCGAAGCGCACCCCCGCAGATCGCCCATTGGCCGAGGCACCAGCTTGTAATGGTGGCGGTACCGCCCCTCCAGCAGAGGGAGAGCCCCCCGGGGATTCACTGAGCACAAGATGGCGGCGCTGGCCGCTCGCCAGAGCCCAGGCGGGGCTGCTGCCGCCGCCATTAGGCCCCTTCCCCTCCCCTCCGGTCCAGCCTTGTGTCCGCCTAGAGGAGGCCCAGACATGGCAGTGAGGAAGCGGCCGGTAAGATGGCGGCGGTTTCAGCCCCGTATGCAAAGTACCCGCCGCCCCCTCCCCTCCGCCCTCCCGGTGGCAAAGGTAAAAGGGTCGGGTTCAAGCCGCCGCCTCCGCCCGCTCAGACTCCATCTTCTGTCTCTCTGTGTGTCCCGCGCTCGTCATCGCCGCGAACATCGCCCTACACCCCTTGGACAGCAGACTTTGCTCACCGCGACCGGACCAGCTCCGACCTCAGCCGGCCCACGCTGCAACCAGCGGCTCCGGCACGGGACTGCCTCGCTGATCGACCCAGCACGCCACAGTGGTCTTTTCCTCTGCAGGAGCTGTAGACCAGGCCAGACCACGGCCGGTGCTCGCTTACCAGACAAATACCGGAGCCGTGCAATCCCCCTCCCCTAAACCCACCGTCACCCCACCCCTCCCCTCGCGGGGGTGTCCAGAGTAGGGCCCGCTGCCGCCTCCCCGCGCCCCCTCCCTCGTCCTGGCCCCCACGAGACAAACCCACCAGGCCACTTCAATTTTAAAAAATGTTTTTTACCTCAGGAATGGGCGCCAAAGGTGCAGTGGCGGTGACCCGACCGGGCCCGGGCAGGCCGGTGCCCAGCAGCGGCCCTCCCTCCCCCCGCGGGGGCTGCAAGGGGCTGTGGGTCCCGCGGAGGGGAGGGGGCCGGGGCTGTGTTGGTGTCGGGGGTGTTTTGTTGTGTGTGCCGTGCCCTGTGACAGGTCAGAGTTCGTGACCCCACCGCCGCCGCCCGGTAGCGCGTCCCCGCTTCCTCTTCCAGCGCCAGCCCGGCCGCGGCCCCTCCATCCCCCGCGGGGCGGGGCCGGCGGCGGGGAGGGGCTACCGGGCTACCTGGGCCTCCCGAGCCTGCCGGGCCCTGCGCCGCTCGGCCGGGCCGGGACCGTGCCCGGAGGAGCCTGGCCTCTGGGGCAGCCAGGGGAAGGTACGTTCACCGCCTTTGCGCCTCTCGCTCGGGAGGCTCCTCAGGAGCCGGAAGGCCGTGGTAGCGGGCTGGCGGTGCCTGTCCAGTGCGCTGATGGTATTGATGTTCCAGGTGTATCTTGGTGCTCGCTGACGATGCAGTAAAAGGTGGGCTCACAGTTGAGCAAGCTCACAAACGCCGCCGCCAGACTGTCGAGTTTTTATTTAATTTTGTGAAGTCAATGTCATTGATTAGGGCTCTTACGGCAAAGCTGGCTGTAAGTGAGGTACGTTGTGCCTTCAAACACACAATGATAGGCATGAAACAGGTTTGGGTGTAGCTGAGGTGGTTGAAGAGTTTACCACCTTTCAGTGCTTGTCTTGTCGCAGGCTATCAGATGTTCACCGCCTGTCATAACTAGGTATTTCTTAACCTACTCATATCAAAATGTTCTTAATGTTTCTAGTAGGTTTCCCTTGAGTCTAATTTTTACAGAAGCTAATTTAAGGAGCAGTTAGATGAATAAGGTAACACCTGAAAGAAAACATATAGAAGAGATAGTAGTTGAATGCAACAATCACAGAAACAAGAGGCTGCTGTTGACTGAATAGTTACACAGTCAGTATGCTGATATTTTTTGTTGAATTTTTCTTCAGAAGGTTGTTTGTAGTTTTTTTTTAGAACTGGCTCCTTGGGGTGAGGGTATGATTAATATACCGAGACCTACGAATAACAGCCTTACTTTCACAGAACAGAAATTAGTAAAGCATGTGATGTGTAGATGTGTTTGCAATACACAAATAAAGGAAAATGTTTCAAAAATGTCTTGGGTGTTTACTACTGTAATGTTAAATACATGAAGAAATTTCAAATTCTCAAAATATGGAGATAGCTTTAGAATATGTGCATAGCTTTAGAAGCAGATATTTCTTGTAACTTCATGAAATATACCATAAAAGTGTGACCGAATGAAAGGAAAAATGGAAAATGCTAAAGCCAAATATGAATGGCTGCTTTCCCCCCTCAGTGTTTCCTGATGGGCGAATTGAGGAAAGGTTTAGAAGGCAGGAGGGTTTGTCTCTTCCATCTTCCTCATTTCTGCCTCTAGGGGAAAGCTTTGCAGCAGTTTTACTCTGAGCTCTGGTGGAGAGCAATCATACTTGCTGTACAGCTCCACCATGCACGCTAAGGTTGAGGAAAGCTGCATTAACATTGTGACAAATTTCGATGTGGTTTTTGCAACAATTTCAATGAAGTGTAGTACAGCGTTTGCCCTTATTTAATAAGCAAGTTTGTATTAGATAATGCTGAAATTTGCTAAATTTTTATACACAGATATGGAAAGGAGTGTTAGTAAAAGCTGCTTTTTGGCCTTCGCTATGACTGGAGAGAAATTAACAGAAGATGCCACAGGTGAAAAACCTCAAAGAGAACTGAGATTACAAGTCAAGGTTAATAACTAGACTGGCAGCAAAGAAAATAGTTACATCTATCTACCACACTGTGGTGAGTTGACTGTGGATTGCAGCCACATGATAACCCAGTCACTCACTTTCCCCTCCTCTTCTATAGTAGGATGGGGAGAAAATGACATGAAAAAGCTCATAGGTCAGGATAAAGACAGAGCCATCACTTAACAGTTACTGTCGTGAGCAAAGCAGACTTGGGGGAAATGTATCTGACTGCCAGTTAAAATGGATGTGGATGGTGAGAAAGCCAAAAATTAAAATACCACCTTCTCTAGCCACTGCTTTCTGCCAAGTGTGATTTCACTCCCTCTCCCATCCGGCCCACATCAGCTCCTGCTTGCCCTTCTGCTCCTCACAGAGGGCTCCTGTCCTCATCTCGCAGGTCCTGCCGAGAGGGTGAGCGGCACCGCGGGCTGCCCTCCTCACGGGACAACGGGCTGCCCTCCTCAGAGCTGCCCTCCTCACGGGACAACGGGCTGCCCTCCTCAGAGCTGCCCTCCTCAGGGCTGTCCTCCTCACGGGACAACGGGCTGTCCTCCTCAGAGCTGTCCTCCTCAGAGCTGCCCTCCTCAGAGCTGCCCTCCTCAGGGCTGCCCTCCTCACGGGACAACGGGCTGTCCTCCTCAGAGCTGCCCTCCTCAGAGCTGCCCTCCTCACGAGACAACGGGCTGTCCTCTTCAGGGCTGCCCTCCTCACGGGACAACGGGCTGTCCTCCTCAGGGCTGCCCTCCTCACGGGACAATGAGCTGCCCTCCTCAGAGCTGCCCTCCTCACGGGACAACGGGCTGTCCTCTTCAGGGCTGCCCTCCTCACGGGACAACGAGCTGCCCTCCTCAGGGAGCACGGGCTGGCCCGAGGAGGCCTCTCCTCCAGCTGCAGTTCCTACCCAGAAAGAGTGAACTGCTCCCAGCCTTAGCTGAGAAAGGATTTTAGTGGTGGTCAGTTTCAAACACACCTGTGGATAACAAGTAGGTTTTAGCTCCTCCTATTAAGTAGGATAGTTTCCTCAGAAGAAAAAATGTGCTAGATAGCTGCCATGCAAAAAGAGAAGGGAAGAAGTCCTGTGGAAATTATTCCCTGCCCAGGAGAACAGATTAAATTCCCTACGGGTCTGAGGTAAGATGTGCATACTTTTGGGGAGGGAAGGAGGCACTAGGTGTGGAAGGAGAGGACCTCTACAATGAACATGTGGGCTGTGAGAGGTTAAAGCTCTCTCTCTGGCTATGATGGTGGCAGAAAAAGCACATAATGGACTCAGAGGGATCAAAACTCAGCGCATAGCAAGTAATATAAAATGCAAATAGGGTTTGAAGTTGTTAATGTGTTTTGAATGTTTGGGATAGACAGTACTGTACAGCTCAGTTGTTTGGGGTTTTTATTAAGTTCTCATTTCAGTTGCCTAAAATTTTATGGGAACTTTCAAGGCAAATTGTCAGAGCACAGCCAATATGTAGTATGGAAGAAATCAACAATTACAAGTGACTGACAAGATTTTAACAGAACTGTTTGGTCTTGTTAATGCCACATTCAATTGAAATCTCTCTTTTAAGTGTTAGAAATTATTTTTAAAGTATGAGTCCTCATGCCTTTCATTTGGGTTTGTACATGGCTGGGCAGTGCAGAGGGAAGCTGGTGACCTCCATCAAGTGGGAGGTTTGCCCTAATTTCTCCATGTTTGTCTCTTAGTAAAAGTGAGTTTGCTGCCTGCTGTAGGCTTTGTTGCTGCAGAAAAATATCACTACATAAAATCATGAAGGGTGGGAAAGACCTTCATGATCATCAAGTTCTACCTTTGACCTCATACCACAATGCCCTGGAGTCTAGAAACTTTCTTGTCAAAATTTGATGAAAAGTGGTGTCACAGTGTTACCCAGGCTGAAGAATCACAGTGCTTCTAATACACAGAAGTTCGTAATTTATGTTCCCAAGTTACTTGTGGAGTTAAACTAGCATTTTTTCCCTTAGTATTTAAAGGAATACCTTTTCCCCTCACTGAATTTTGTCTCTTTCTTTCACCTTCACATGCAGTGATATTCACTTAATGTTGTTACAGCCAACATAGTTTTTACTGCTTTTGTATCAAAGCAGCATGCAAATAGGAAAGCCTGGCTGGTATTCATAGCTGTGTGGTAAAAGCAGCAGAGAACCAGCTCAGGAAGGGCAGCAGTCCAAGGTCTTAACCAGCAGTGCTTGTGTAAGTGGTATAGGATCTTGTCATGTTGGTGTTCTCCATCTCCAAATGACTTGTACTTTGATTTGGAAGAAAAATTTAATAACTGTTTAAAAACCAGATTTTAACTAGGCATATACCATAAAATAGGTCTAAATATTACTTGTAGATAATAACTAATAACCTTAATGCTTTTTAATAAATCAATTAATAAATAGAAAAACTCTGAAACAACAAATGGGAGAAGCTTGATACTAGGTGTTGGCTGAGCAGCTCATACATTGTGACTTACTACTAAGTTTTTTAATCATATTTGTGAAGACATGGAACAAAATTTTTGTTTTGAAGGAGTAATACTATAAATTAGTAAGTAAAAGCTGTGTTAGTAAATGTCAGGTAGTAAACTGAGTGTATGCCTCTATTTTAATATGTTAGCATTTTCTAAAAGGCGATTACTGGGTGAATTCTGAAATTAAAATTTCTATCTCTGGTGCTTAGCTTTGCTCAAATTCAGTTAACAGTAGGATTGAAGTTGTGAGGACATTTTCTTTTTTTTTCCTCTTTATGATGCATTGAGACCATTAGTATCTGTAACTGAAGTCAAGATGAAGTAACATAGGCGGGCTTTACAGAAGATAAATCAGTGTGATTGAAACACGTCATCATACCAATTAGGTCTAAATCCTGTTTCTACCAGAAGGCCTCCAGTACCATCATCTGATTTGATGCTTTTCCTTATTTGTCAGAGAACTGTTTAATAGGCAAGTGTCTGTTAACAATAACTGGAACTGCAAAGCTGGAATTAAAGAAGGTGGTAATAGTGTAAAGGAAAAGCCTGTAGAACTGCAGTTATGTTTTGCTCTTTTATTTCTCTACATTACTTAAACCAATGTTTAATAGCACTGTATCTTATTTTTTACAACAAAATATTTTCATGTTCATTTCCTGCTTCTAACTGAAAACTTCATACAACAGTCATTACTGTCAGCACCTAAGTCTTCATAATATTGTCATTCTGTAGTGCAGCTTTGTTTTGTTTCAGACCATGGCTAGAGATCTTGCTCTGTATTCAATGTTGTTTTATTTTTCTTGTCGGTGCAAAATATTTTCAAGGGGAGATAAACATTTATAGTGCGTTGGTAGCAAGGCCATGGCTCTTACATGAAACAAAGTTAACCTTGCTGTTCATCCGTTAACTAAAGAATACAAAAGTTTTATTTTTCTCATTCTTGGTTTCTGTTTGCACATGATAATATATGCTTAATGGAATGGTCAGACTCAAATGTATAAAAACAACCCCAAAACCCAAAATTACCTTTTTATTTAGTGGTAGGTGTGTTTTGTTTCTTTAAGCTTGTTTATCCAGGTGATAAACTGATCTACCTTACCATTTGGATATATATTATGAAGCTTTAAAAATATGGACAATTCTAAGAAATTTGTTAGAGTCACAAATTCAGATCTCCGTTAAGTTTCTTGAAGAAAGGGAAAAATAAAAGG